TGAAGCTTTGTCAGCCATTATTCAGTTTTTACTATGATTTCTTTCATCTTAATTTCACTTGCTTTTTATTACATTAATAGTATTAGTAGTAATGTTATCTTGAATTTTATTATTACTAGATGATGTAGTATGTGGAGTCTAAGACTGTGGTGGAAACACCGAGAAACCAAATTTAACCAAAGCTTCCTTAGTGTGTTGCCAGAGTGTGAGCAGTATATTTTTTATTTTTTTATTTTTTTTTGTGACCATAAGGATTGTTTGTTTTGTAGACAAAGCCTGGCTTGGGCGCATATCTCCTGCTGTGTTGCCACATATCATCAGAATATGACATCTTTCCAAGTTTCAAATCCTGGACTTTGGTTGGCATTCTTATCAAACCTGTACTCCATTTTTAAATCAGAAGAACAATTTTCATACTATATATATATATATATATATATATATAATGAGTTAAAATGGTAATCTGTGTGGAATTTCCAAGTGGATAGAGATCCAAGGAGAGCTCTATGTTCGAGTCAACAAAATTATTATTTAATGAATATCAAACACTTAAAATACCATTTTTTGTGTGTATGTGTGTGGCTGCCAGTGACTAACAAAAGCTCTAGAGTTGGAATGCTGAAAATCACATCAATCAGCTAAGTGACAAATTGCATTTCTATTAATCCCGTTAATCTCTGATATCGAGCACTTTATTGCAAAGACTTCTTGCCTTGTATGTCTATTCCTTGTCTTTCACTGACAGGATTTCTGGCTTCAATACTACATTTGTTTTTATTTTTATATATATATATATATATATATATATATATACACACACACACACACACACACACACACAGTGGAAATAATTGGTGTAATATATTTCATCCTTTAAGACTTCAAACTAAAGTAACGTTTTGTTCATGGAATTATATAAGTGTACAAAGGAGAGGGGGGGATATAAATTATGCACTGACAGGAAATGCTGAACATGTTGGAACACTGAAATTTTAAACTTAATTTTTTTTTTTTTTTTTCTGTTTTGCCAATTTCATTCATTTTCCTTATACCTTTATGGTAAATTAGATTACTGTCAAATGTGATGGCAATTGTTAGAAAGACTTGAAACAATGTATTGAGATACTGTTATGATGTTGATTTGGGGTTAGTAGAGACAAACACCAAATAACACGTAACAATAAAAAGGGTTTTAATAGGTTGGTAAAAAGGTACAGAAATCGCCTGAGTAGTCAATAACTAACTCAGCTAAGAACTTCTCTGTCTATCTATCTATCTTCCCCATGTCAACTGACATGCCACTATTTAAAGTCTTTGTTCACAGACACAGACAAGTTCATCTTCCAGAGGGGTGGTAGGTTTCCGACACAACAGATACAATAAAGCAGAGATAAAGAATTCATAACAAAAATATAAGCCAATGACACGTTTAATTAATCCATTCCCTTTATATTTTTTTAGATGTTCAATGGTATCTATGATTCATTGATTACTCCTGGAATTATATAAATTGCTTTTTGCACAATATCTTTTCATGTTAAACATTTTATATAATATTGGCAGAAAATAATTAGTAACAGAACAACAAAGACATCAGCGATAAAGTCTATTTAAAAACCAAGTTGAAGCATGACAATCACTTAATAGATAAAGGTATTTTGCGGCATACCTACAGACTATAATGGGTATGCCCTCATTTTCCATAAATACAGTAGTGAATACTTTGTGTTGGTTTGGAGTTGGAGATTCATTGTGGAATTCACTTGACTCATGTCCAGCAGTTGACTACTTCTACGCGCTGCTGGTGAATCTTATGTGTGTTGTTCTTGTCCTAAGTATTATTGTTCATTATCAACCTTCATATGATTATTCTATTCAGTAACCTTCCCTAGGTTGCAACATTTTGGATAGCTTAAGAAAAGCAATTGAATGCTTTCTTTCAATCCAAAACATCTATAAAGTTTAGTTTAATAAGATTGCATTTAATTGTGAGATATATGTATATATAATGGTCCTGAGATACAGCTTAAATTATAGATAATACCCTCAAACCAATTTAGGAGCATGTTGTATTTTGAACCCCTTCTGAGTGCAGTGCCAAATTTCATTAAAATTAGACAAGGGGTTCTTGAGCTAGGGCTATTTTTATGGCATTTTAATAGTAGGAAATTCAGTATTTTTTTTTTTTCATTGCACATTCTTATATCACTCCACATATATAAACAAATACTTACATATTATATTCCAACTATTATGTGAGTGAAAAATAAATATTCATAATACATTATAAGAACATTATTACATAAGTTTAAATATGCATAGCACAACAGATATTTGTACAATTCACTTCACTACATTAGAATGTTTTTTATAAGCAACTATTTGAAAGATGAAGAGAGTATATGTGTCACATGATTTCATGGTAAATAAAATAAATAGATGCACACTGATTTGCTGCTGTTATGTATTTTGAAATAAATGCAAGGAAGAAACAAGTGTGTATAATAAAAAATATACTTGTTATTTTGAAAAAGACCTGTATTAAGCTATTACTCCAAATTTTCACACAATGTGTTAACTGGTGAAACAATAAACCTTCTTTTACCCTCTTTTAAATTAAAATTAGAATGTGTAATCTAAATAAGGAACAGTGTACATATGTCCGTCCATTTGTTTTTTGATCTTGGCAAATCATGAACAATCTGAAGTAACAGGTAGTTACTACTGTAGTTACATGCAATTAAAAATTAAATAACTCATTTAAAGTTAAGTTTAAATATCAAGAAGAGTGAAAAGTTTAAAAACAACTCTATTTTATTAAAGGTCTAACTTTAATTTCGCTTTTTGTTGCAATTGCAACTGATATTGTCTAGTTAAACTGTAATTAAAACTTAAGCTGTGCACGGTACATTGCTCACATGTTGTTGTTTTTTTTTCTTTTCCTAGCATGTGCACTGTGACGTATTCAAAATATTATATAGTTTGTGTTGCCTAATGTCTTTTAAGGGTGAGTTTCTATGAAGGGATCATAAAGAATTTTAAAAGAAAATAAAAATTGCATGCTAAATAAATGTAAACATAATATGGAGATTGGTTGCTTATAAAGTGTAACCCGGATATAAGAGAAACCCGGATATAAGAGAGATTTTCTCTGGTCCCAAATTAGTTCCCATACTTACCTAAACAAAATAGACCAAACCCGGATATAAGAGAAACCCGGATATAAGAGAGATTTTCTCTGGTCCCAAATTAGTTCCCATACTTACCTAAACAAAGTAGACCAAACCCGGATATAAGAGAAACCCGGATATAAGAGAGATTTTCTCTGGTCCCAAATTAGTTCCCATACTTACCTAAACAAAGTAGACCAAACCCGGATATAAGAGAAACCTGGTCCCAAATTAGTTCCATACTTACCTAAACAAAGTAGACCAAACCCGATATAAGAGAGATTTTCTCTGGTCCCAAATTAGTTCCCATACTTACCTAAACAAAGTAGACCAAACCCGGATATAAGAGAAACCCGGATATAAGAGAGATTTTATCTGGTCCCAAATTAGTTCCCATACTTACCTAAACAAAGTAGACCAAACCCGGATATAAGAGAAACCCGGATATAAGAGACTTCTTCTCTGGTCCCGACAACTCTCTTATATCCGGGTTACACTGTATGAGGAAAGATTGTGCTGAATTAAGATGTTGAATAAAGATAAAATAATTTTATTATTTCCGAAATCTTATGACTGAAGGTAAAAGGCTGAAGGCCCAAAATCTCTCTGTAGGAGCTACCATAAAGTTTGCCCAAAGCGGCAGCTTCTAGGCGAGTTAACAATAAAATTGATAATATTGTTACCTCGTTGTTTTGTATCATGAACTGCTTTTAAAAGAAACCAAACAGGTTTATGGGCTGTCTAATATATTAGAGTGTTCAGCTTATAAATTATATCATAAAGAAGCAATTTATATGAAGAATTAATTAACAATGTTAATGTGAATAATGGTGAAATCACTTTGCTAACTTTGTATTATTCAAGGAATTGATAGTTATTGTCTTGTTAGTGAAGCGATTTCGACATCAATCACATTAACATTGCTAATTAATTCTTTGTATTATATATATATATATATATATATATATATATATATGTGTGTGTGTGTGAATAACAGTTTCTTTTCTCTCACTTCTTGCTTGTGGAACTCCCTTCTGGCTCTATGCTTTCCAGTCAGTTTTAATCTGCAAATATTTAAATGCAACATCAACTGCTATCTACTGTCCTCCTGATTACTCTTCACTCTTCCTGCTCATTATTAATGTTTCCTAATCCTTTCACATCCTGTAACCCCTTGTGTCTTAGTGGCTTTACTGCTTTCCATGGGGTGATACCAATTCAAAAATAAAAATATATATATAAGAAAAACAGACCACTTTAAGGTACTATCATAATAATTTATTTCATCAGAGTCCTTTTAAAGGATGCCGGATCATCAGATAGCACTTCCAAAAGATGAAACGAAAAATGAAATGAAAATTGATGGGTAGTGTAAGTTTTTGTAATTTCATCCTCCTTGGGATTACCCATACGGTTTACCAAGTTCTTCATAACTTATATATATAATGGGTGTGCATAAATAACAGTTGAATTTGTTATGAGCTAAATTAAATTCTGATCACCAGAGCACGCTCTAATTTAAGATACTGGTGCAACATGATCTTCTTACCTACTATTCACTGCTTTTCAGCCTTGTGACAGATAAAGCTAAATTTAGTAAATGACTATAAAATGCCAACAGTTTTATTAAAATAGTTTCTCTATTAATTTGTAGGTGTCTTTTCATAATTGTAGCTAAATAAAAGCAGATTAGTAGATGATGGGCTCTTGTGAGATGTTTTCCCTCATTCTCATTCAGGCCTCAAGATGAGAAAATGACATCAACAATTTGCTAAATTAAAATAAAAATATGTTTTCATTTCATGATGGTCTTTATCAATTTCTTTTCAGGTACTCTTTTGGTTACGGAGTATTTCAAAACTGAAGCAACAGCAGTGCAATGTGATGTTGATTTGAATGATACAAATGCCATCAATGTTGACAGGTGAGATATGTTACACACACACGCACACTCATAGAGGATCATGATACCCTCCCCCCCCCAACACACACAAACAGGTTTAAGATACACATGCACCTACAGACTCAAGATGCACACATGCACAAAACAGGCTCAAGATCCCCACACACGCATACACAAAGAGGAACAAGATGTGTGCACACACACACACACACACACACACACACACACACAAACAAAAACAGGATCAAGATGTTTGCGCACACATAAAAATGTCTCAAGATGCACACACACACACACACAAGACACGTAGGTGCACAAACAAGTCATTCTGAAACACTGGTTCCTATAGATCAGTGACTGCTTTAGAATACCAGGTACTGTAAACTTGGATGTGTGGGTGGTGTAATGGATGATGACTCAGAATTGTTAATTGCCGAGCTGAGTTCCAATTTCCATTGTGTTCAATATATTCACTTACACGCAAATACCATTGGGAAATGTATGAATCCACCTCTCCGCCAACTATAGGTTAATTAGTAAGACTATTATCACTAAACTATTATTATCTACTCCTCTCCCCCCCCCAATTTTACAATCGAAAAAAATATTTTCTGGACTTAAATAAGCTGTAAAGTGTTGATAAGCCGTAAAAAATGAATCAAGATACTTGGGCACATACAAGACAGACACTAGACACATTCACACATGAGTTCACTTTTACTCATTAATGCAACTTAGGAAATTTAATTTTTACAGAATTTTATTAAAATTTTCAATTTCTACTACTGCTCTTCTCTCACTCTTTTTTTGTATCTTCTCATTTTATCCCTTATCCTTTCCAATCTTTTGCATTTTATCATTTACTGTTTTTATTTTATTTTAATTGTTATCTTCTTAATTTCTGTACTATCAGGTCATCCCATAAGTTCTGTCCGAATTTTAACATTTGTTAAAATGAACAAAATTTAAAGAGTATTTTATAATGTCTAATGGAGCTGAACATTATTTTTATGTTTAGATGCATTTAAACTGATCAAATTTTATTTCAGAGAACAATAAAATTAAATTTTGTTTGATTAAAACCCTGCTAACATGGAAGTACCCAAGAATCGTTTGAGGCACATAATGCTTTATGAGTTCAAGAAAGGAAACTCAGCAGCCAAAGCGGCTAGAAACATTCACTCAGTTTATGGAGAGGAATGTGTGAATGAAAGAACTTGCAGAAGATGGTTTGCAAAATTCAGAGGTGGAGATTTCACCCTTTAAGATGAAGATCGAACCGGACATCCAGTTGAGTTTGATGAAAAGCTTCTTGAAGTAGCCCTTGAAGAAAATCCTGCTTTATCAGTTGAGAAATTGGCAGTGGTTCTCAGTTCAAACCATACAACTGTTCATCGTCATCTTCAACAACTTGGAAAAGTTCCTAAACTTGGAAAACGGGTGCCTCATGAATTGTCTGAAAACAACCTCAAATCCCGAGTTAACATCTGCTCTTCTCTCCATTCTCGCCAACTTGTTTCACCTTTTTTGGATAGACTTGTGACTGGCAATGAAAAATGGATCTTTTATCGAATTGTTAAGTGTTGTAAACAGTGGTTTGGTAAAGGGGAAGGACCCCAGCCACAGCCGAGAAGGGAAATTCATGGGCAAAAGATTCTTCTTCAATCTGGTGGGATTGCCAAGGAATAATCAACTTTGAATTCTTACCACCTAATGCAACAATTAATGCTCAAATATACTGTCAGCAATTAGTGTTTGAACCAAGCTTTGAGGGGAAAAAAGACCTGCTTTAGTGAATCGAAAAGGGGTGATGTTTCATCAGGACAATGCGCGACCCCACACAGCAAGAATCACGTCACAAAAGATCGAAGAACTTGGTTGAGAGAAAATTCCTCATCCACCTTATTCTCCCGATCTTGCTCCTTCAGACTACCATTTGTTTCGTAGCTTACAGAATCATTTGGAAGAAACAGCTTTTGTAACACAGGGAGAGGTTAAAACTGACATCTGTGAGTTCTTCGAATCAAAGCCAAAAGAATTTTACAGTAATGGAATTCGTAAGCTTGTTAATAGATGGAAGGAAGTCAAAGATAATCAGGGAAAATACATTGTTGATTGAATCTGTAATTAAATGTAACATTTGGCCACTTGTTTTCTTTATTCAAAATTCAGACAGAACTTATGGGGTGACCTGATATTATTATTCTCTCTCCTTAATGTTTTTCTTTTTCTCATATTCGTTCACAATCAGTAACCCCTTGCATCTCGGCAGCTTTATTGCCTTGCTTGGGGTGAAATGATTAAAAAAAAAAAGTAGAAGCTTAAAATATTATTTTTGATAGTATGGAAAAAAACTGGTATGAACTTAAGATTCTGGCGGACATAAAGTGGGGGATCAGTTTTCTATAGTCATGAAGTAATAAACTGATTCCCCTTTAATTACTACATATTATTAATTGCAACCCCCCTGACTTTATTGGTTTGCTTGGAGTGAAATGATTAAAGAAAGAAAGAAAAAAAAAAGTTGAAAATGTGGAAACTTCTTGGGTGTTTACATTTAAAATTTTTCATTATTTTATTCCTCTGCTCTTTTCTTCTCTCCCCCTTTGTATTCTCTTTCTTTCTTGTTTTGTTTTGAATTAATCTTCATTTTATTGCTTAAACTGTTAGTCATTTTTTCTGTCTTATTTATTTATCTTTTTATTTTTTCGTTTTTTTTTTAGTGATTTCTCATTTAACAGTGATGCCTCTATGAGCCGATATTTGGTACGATTGGGCTCCAGTCCCTTGTATGGTTCGACTGTGCTTGAAAAAACTGAGGTATGAATAAAATCATGACACAAAGAAAAAAAAACATTTGATTGCCTGAAAGGGTTGATATTTTTTTTTTTATTTTGTAAAATTTGTGTACTGGTTCTAAAATTAATGTCTTCTTTGAAAAATTACTATAATCTTTAATCTCTTGAACACTACAGTTGCCCTGTAATGACACCAATGTCACATTTGCATTGTTCTCAGACCAGGCAATATACAAATTGAGACATGTGAAGTTTAGTCATTGATTGTCAAAGATACAATAAGACTTTAATATTCCATTTAGATATCCAACTGTATTTTCAGCATTATTCTTGCAGATTCTTTTAGTTTTCCAGCTTATGTTCACAAACACAGCATTGTTTTGCTATTTCTTTACATGGAACCAAAACTGCCTATTCTATATATGAGGTCTGTCTGAAAAGTAATGGATCTGGTATCACAATTTATTTCAATTCCAAACAACAAGGTAATTGTTCCCCCTTGAAAGTAATCTCCCTAGAGTCTAAATCACTTTTCCATCCTTGTATGTACTGCTGGAATGATTTTTCTTCTCCTCCACCCCCCCCCCCAAAAAAAACCTCTGTTGTTATGGCCCTCTTGATGGCCTTCATACCTTTAAAATTGGGCCCCTTGGTGATCCCTTTGATCTTTCAGAAAAGAAAAAAAAGCTACATGGATTAAGATCAGGTGATAGGGAGGTTGTTCCAGTATGGTGATGTTCTTGGCCTGGAACTGTCAGATGTTCAGGGTGTGAGTAGGTGCATTGTTATGGTAAAGCAACCACAATTTGTCCTGCTACACAACTCTCACATGTGAAAAAAAAAATGCAATGTTTTTGGAAAGCTAAGATTACAGTTATATACTCTCAAGATATCATGTTAGATGATAACACAATACGCTTATTCCCCTTTTGCCCAGAGCTCACACAGCACGCCCAGTCTTGTTACTTTTCAGACGGACTGCGTATTCATAGATATGTCAACAAAAGTGGCTTGTAAAGTTTTGTGCTAGATATTTGAAGTTAAATATTACTTCACACTTGGTTAGACCAATTGAGGTTGATAGGAACCCAGAATTTCAAAGTTAAATTGTTTGTCCATTTAAAATACTACATTTATTAGAAAATATATTCAGTTTAAATCCAGAAGGAGTCATAAAATGGCTTAAAAGGGGTAGTATATTTCAGCTTATACTCTCTTTTTTTCTGTTACTTTTACCTGAGGTTGTTGCCAGATAGAATTGATCCCAGTGTTATAGATGTCTATTTCAATTTCAAAATTGGCAAAGTTTAACCTTTATGCCCCTCCCTCTCAATCAAAAAAAGAGAAACTGTTTCAAATGGACACCGTTATTATTTTAACTCACTTTATTTTTTGGTAAGGTTTAAAGGTTTATTGTTTTAAAAAGCAAGGATTAGAATTTTAATAAAGGCCAAACATATGAAAGCAAATTTATACATTTTCTTGAGAATTTACAACAAAAATATTAAACACTATTTATTTATTAGATTGTTTATTTACAAGAATAATTTTATATTTACAACATTCTTAAAATGTGAACTAATGCAATGCTTATCATTTACCAATTTAAAAGGAAATAAAGGGTGTTTCATTAAGATGGATTATATAATAAAGGGTGTTTCATTAAGATGGATTATATAATAAAGGGTGTTTCATTAAGATGGATTATATAATAAAGGTGTTTTATTAAGACCGATCAAAGTTAGCAGTAAATAAATCAGTGTTATTGGTGAAAATTTATTTATTTCTCTATTGGATCATGTTATTTAAGTCATGGCGATTATGTGTGAAAAATAATATCACCTAAATGTCCACCAAATCTGAAGGAAAAAGAAAAAAATCATTTGATGCTTAAATTTAATTCACATTTAAAATCTGTCCAAGTTATTGGAACACCCTTTGCATATTATTTTTAATTCAATTTAAAATAATTTTTTTTTTTAATTCAGAAATTTATAAAAATTTACTAAACCATAAAAATATATGAACCAATTATAATGAAATCCTCATTTCCATTTTATGAAGTTTGAGTCAATTGTCAATTTGACGATGTATTGTCAACCATTCCAAAGAACACAATTTGACAGTTTTGCCAATTGTTTTAGTCAAGGTGATTAGTAGCCACTCTTCATTTAAGATTTCTTTATCAGTCATCACTTGGCTGACTATAAATAATTTATTGGCATATTTTCTAGGCATTTTTAGAAAAATCAGCAAAAATCTTTTTTAAATTTTCCAAAAAAAAAGTAGGAAAGGGTGTAATCTATAATTGCTGGAGTTTTTGATCCTTACATTTTTATTGGTTAGGCATCCCTGATCTGTTATCACAATTATAAAAGAAAAATTAAAAAAATTGGAAAATTGAAACAGAAAGTAATCTGGTATAAAATAATTTAAGAAAATGTATAATGTTCAGGAAAATTATTTTTATTTAATTTTTTTTTTTTTTTGTTCAATAGTTCATAGATATTTTTATAAAATTATGAATTATAAAATTATTCTTATAATCTTGTAAATAAACATTTCCAAGGGGGTCTCATTAGTATATAATAATAATAGCAGTGTCAACAGAAAAAAAAAATGTTCTTTTGAAACTGATTTTTTTTCATGAAGGTTACATATTGCTAATATCTTTTATTTAATAAACCAAATGAGAAGCAAACTTTTGAGGCACTTAATAATTGAAAGTCATAATGCAATAAAAAGGAATTGCTGTTTTTTTTTATGTAATTGGGTTTCATTCCTGTAAACTTTTGAACTTACAGATAGACTTTTGGATGGATTTTGCTATGACTCAACTTAGCAACAATTCTGATTTTAATGATGCTGTCCATTACTTACACAAAGTTCTGGAACCAATCACCTATCTTGTTGGACACCAACTGACCTTGGCTGACTTCTTTATTTGGAAACAAATGCATTGTAAGTCAATTCAAATTTTCTGTTTTGAAAGGAAAAAAAAACATGTCTGACAAAATGGTTTGATTTTTTTTTTTTTCTTTCTTCTTTACATTTCATATCCTCTTGGCATCAGTTTAAACTGACACCGTTATTGCTTAGTCTGTATTTTCTTTATTTTAGATGAAAACTTGGAAATTTTCCAAAAGTAGAATTTTTTGCGACACGTATTGAAACCCTCACTGTGTTTAGCTTGTTGAAGTTATTGCAAACATTTTCTGCAAACTCTACATTTCATTCAGATTTGAATAAATGGATTTGTTTGGAAAAATGCTTTAACAAAAAAACCTACTTTGCAGTGTTTATGCACACTAGTAAAACCAACTCTAATTTGTACTCCTTTAGCTGTTTGTACTTCTCCCCAAAATTTGTTTTTGATAGGTCAATATGGCTATTTTAGAGGGTGTGATGGACGGACGGACGAATGGAAGTCACAGAATTTTATATATAGATTGTAGTTCTTAATTACATGGGAAGAAGGTGTCAGTTTACTGACACCAGGAGGATACCAATGAAGTTAATATACTCTACAAATGACTATTTTTTTTTTAATCTTTTCATCTCTATTTTGTGTTTGTATATTATCCAATATCCAACAAAAAACTTCAATAAAAAATTGCCTGATTAAAATTTACAAAATCTGCAAGTTATTTCTTAAGGAGTACTAATTCAGAACTTTTTTTTTTCTTTGATTTAGAAACACACTCTTATCCATAGTTATTGATATTGGTAAGGTCACATCATAAGCAGATGTTAAAGTCTCAACTGTGAGAGCAATCAACTGAGTAAAAAAAAAAAAAAAAAAACATTGACAAATATATCGTTTAAATTATTTTGTTTTAAAAGAATGTGAAATAAAACCAAACTAGTTACATTCCATCATCACCAATCTGACCGTGAACTACAACTAATCTGGACTAATGGAGTTTTCCTCGGGGAAAGCACCGTGCCTTGAAAGACTGTTGGGTCTTGTACCCGACCTCATTGCTAATGATGCAGGTAAAATGGTCGGCTCTATGTACTGCTCCAGTAATTAACTGACTCTTCATGCTATTCTCTATGTTTATAAGAGCCAGATCAGGTCAAAAATGGAGTACTGCTGCCATATTTGGGTGTAAGCTGCCCAGACCTCACCCTCCAGCCTTGATAGAGTTCAAAAGCCTCTCCAAGCCCTTGTAGGTGACAAACTATTCTCCATCATTAAACCTCTCTCCTACAAGCAGGATGTAGTAAGCCTCTTGCTGCTCTACCATTACTTTTACGGAAGGTGATCAGATGAACTACATTTCCTGATCCTGCTGAGGCAAATCTTCACTGCAAGAACACGCCATGCCACTTATATAGTAGCAAAACACTCATATTCCCTCCATATTCCCTCGGTGAGAAGTTCCACTCGAGCAGCTTCTTTCCACAAACTACTGCTCTGTGGAACAGACTCCCAACTGGATGTTTTCCTCAACACTACAATCCTATTGAAGGCTAGAGTCAACTGTTATCTTCCACTCATATACACACAGATATATAAAAGGTGTGCAGAAAGGTTCTCAGACCTTAGCATTTCCAGAAATCTGGCCACACATCCAATTTATTTTATCAGGTTGAGAATTTTCAGCATGTGCATATATATATATATATATATATATATATATATATATATATATATATATATATATATATATATATATATATATATACACACACATTGCAAATTATTTACACCAAGTTGCTAATGTAACCAATAATGCAAATAGAAACAATTAAATGATGCCCTGCTTCGATAAACGGAAGTTACCATCACGAGTCCCCGACTCGAAATGAAAACTGCACGTCTACGCATAGGCTCGACGCAGATACTTCCGTTTGGGATAAACTCAAAAAAAAAAAAAAGAATTAAATCAACCAATCGGACCGTCTCCCGCGTAGTCAAAAAATTGCCATTTGGAGCCGATAGGCGTGTATAAGTTCAACACGGGAAAGTCAAAAGGGAGTCCCATTCAACGGCGGAGGCAGAAGGGTCACGTCGCTCGCTCCTGACACACTGGCCCGGCGACGAACGAAGCATGTGACTGCTGCTGCTAATGAACTCTCGTCCGACGCTTTGTCAAAGGGTACCTTTCCCCTTCCATAAGTCAAGTTAACTCCACGAACTTTACTTGCCACTACCATAGACATTCAACTTCTTAAATACGAACCTTTTACTTGTTCTTATTTTCCTCACTAAAAGGACTATAAAATATATCTACAGTCTTTCTTGTTCTTTCGATTCTGAATTTCATTGTTTGCAACCAAACGCAGTATTTCGCCCACATTGTTTTCACATCGCCCACGTAACTAAATACGGAATATAACACTGGTGTCAAGCGTACAGCGAAACAATGGAATACTCAGGCCTCTCTCGCTCAGAAATTCTGGAACTCATCAAGCAACAGAAAACAGCGATTCTCCAAACGAAAATCGACATGGAACGCGCTGACAACCCCCAAACACAATCGATCATTAACGAACTAAAAGCAGACCTTCACGAACTTTTAGCCGCTCTGCAGACTACCACACATGATCGCTCACACTCACCGCGATACGCCACAAACTACGAACTATTAATGCGACAGCAATCACTTCGGACGCTACGAAATCCATCCGGGCCTTCGAACCAGGCAATGACGTCAACCGCTTTATCACCGACCTCAGCAAAGCTTACACGATACACGTTAAGCCAGAGTTGAGCGAATACCCCGAGATGGAGAAAGAATTCGTCAAACTGGCAAAACAACTCCTTAACAAAGGCATCTTCCAGCAGATGGAAGACTCAAAACAATCCACAGCCACATTCGAGGAACTGAAAACTTACCTCGTCTCCACTCACGGGAACCAGATGACGAATTTCCAACATCTGAGCCGGGCATGGGACCTCCAGCGCTGTGACAGGGGAGAAATTCACTGATTTTGCAGGCCGACTTGAGAACACAATCCGAGAGGCCACAGTCCACATCAAGGCGAGATTCAAGTTGGACAAACAAAATGCCAAGATGACGGCCGACACCGCTTTCTCCCTAATGAGGGCCATGCTCATGAGCGAAAGGATCAAGGCATGGGCACCCAACATTTATCCACACCTCGTCAAAACCATGGATAGACACTACTCAGCGGGCGGTATTGCCAGCGACGCGCAACGCTTTCTCGATCGCGGCATCAAAACAGACATGACCACCTCCGTTGAAACAACCGCATTGATTGCGAGCCAACCAGCAAACTCCGGCAAACCTCACAGCCTTGAAAGTGACAGAATACTAGCCGACGTAAAGCGACAATTGCTGGACCTGAACGAGCAACTACGGCAGGCGCACAGGCACGACCCAACCACCATCAACAGGAACAATCAGACCGGCCCTCCTCCAACATGAAGCACAGCCGGACGCAAAGAGGCACTGGCCAATCCGGCCACCTGGCAGTATGCAGAAACTATCTACGAGGCCGTACATGCTTCAAGGGTAACAGATGTCCCTATTTTCACCCTCCCCACGCTCAAGCTCACATAGCGACCACTGATACCACCTTACCCGGAGCAGACAGTGATCCACACAACGCCGAGCACTCGACATGCTTCAACGAACTGGATTTTCAGCAGGGACCGAACGAGATGTGATGTATCGTTCCCCGGTCCCCGAATCCAAACCCCATCATCACATATTCAACCTTCAGATCTTACCCGAGCTCCGATCCCCTTTGTCCAGATCAACCTCCGCAGCAACGACATTATGTTCTCCAATGTCGGCATGTTGGATTCTGGGTGCACGACTTGCATCGTCCCAATTTCTCGCTTACCCGAAGAAGCGAGAAAGTTCATGACCCAATCTGACATCCGAATTAAGGGAATCGGAGGGAACGTCTCTATTCTGGGCAAATTAACTTGCGACGTCACCTTAGGCGACCATACTTCCCCCGCCTTCCACAAGGTCGACACACTGATCACGACATCGGACATTCCTATTCTGATCGGACAGAATATACTCGGCCACCACACGCTATCTTCTTATACTATCGACAACCAGAAGGCTTCTATCAAATTTACACGCACGCTCACATCCGGCAAGCTAACTCATACTGCCCCACTCTCCCCAGCCTTCGATCTAAAAAAAAAAACAACCCATAATCTCGCACACGGCGCCCAAGCCATTTCCAACGAGGAGCCACGCGTCACAGCGAGATCATCGTTTGACGGGTGGACCCTCAACCGAAAACTGGATTGGCTGAAACAAACCGTAGGCCTATCGCTTCAAAACCACCCTAACCGTAGTGAACTAGAAGCCACCGCCGACCTGCTCATCGGCTATGCGGATATCCTCGGCACCGACGACAATAACAAGGGCACCTTCATCAGACCCATACGCATACCGACCAATGGCCAGTCCAGAAGCCAAAAGCAGCATCCAATAGCCCAAGCACTGGAGGATGACGTGGATGCAGAAATTGCGCGCATGGCCAGCGAGGGTATCATCGAACCTTGCAACGACCCTAAGGGATTCAACAGCCCCGTTTTCGCCATCCGTAAGAAAAACGGAAACATCCGAGTGGTAGCAAACTTCAAGAGAACCCTCAACAAGGTACTGGTCGATCTCGACCCGTATCCGATACCTACCATTGATTCCACATTCAACAAGATTGGCGAGGGCAACAAATACTTTTCAACCCTCGATCTCCGCAACGGGTACTGGCAAATCGTCATTGATAAACTTGACCGCCACAAAACGGCCTTTACCTGGAAAGGACGTTGTTTCCAATACACCCGTCTGGCTTTCGGTTTAACTTCCGCGGGACAAATCTTTTCTCGGTGCATAGCCGATGCTCTGGACACAGTGGCCTCACGCGCGAACATATCGTCCTATATTGACGACAACCTCATCCATGCCAAAACCTTCGAGGAATACATAACCGCACTGGAACAATTATTCATTGCTCTTCGCAAATTCGGATTGAAACTAAATCCAGACAAATGCGTCTTCCTTGCGTCCGAAGCCAAATTTCTCGGCCGCATCGTGAATAGCGACGGGTTCAAGGCCGATCCCGAATACGTTCGCGCCATCATCGACATGAAACCCCCCGACAACAAAAAAGAATTGCAAAGTCTCATCGGACGCCTCGTATGGATTCGACAATTCCTTGAGACACGCCTATATGAGAAGATTCGAACGGACATGTTTTCCAACCTGATGGCCCCATAAACGAACTAAACAAGCCGGGACGGACATTTGTCTGGACGGAAAGGGCCAACAAGGCTTTCGAAAAAATCAAGAAGCGCCTCGCTTCACCTCCAATCATCTCATTCCCCGACTTCTTCGGACTCTTTACCCTCACCACTGATGCCAGCGACATCGCATGCGGAGCTATACTCATGCAAGAGGGTGAACACGGTCGAAAGAAAATCATAGCAGTGGCCTCACACACCTTTAACCCGACAGAGCGCAACTGGTCGACGACTGAACGCGAGGCGTACGCTATAAAATGGGCTATCACCAAATACGATTATTTCCTCCGTAGCCGTCCATTCGTCGTCCTCACGGATCACCGGTCCCTTACCTACTTGGATCAACGCGAATTCAACAACGCGAAGATACGACGATGGCAAGAGGAAATCTCGTGTTACAAGTTCGTCTTGGAATATGTAGAAGGAGAGTCGAACGTCTGGGCCGACATGCTCAGTCGGAGATACAGCCACAACAAGGACAAATTACCAGCGGACCCCACACCCGCAGGCAAGGTCTTCAAACTCCAAGACTCCAGCCTAAACATCTACGTCCCATCTTGGTGCCTTGATGAAATCAGGAGCTCCCAGCTACTCCCTGGGACACATACACCTCGGGACATCCAACAGCATAAGCAGGTCGCCGATGCATTCTTCGCTTTCCACACTACGTCCACCATCCCTGTTAAAGAGATCGCCGACCACATGGGTATTGCGGCCGAACAAGCCTCTGATGATACACTTTCAAAAATCATCAGAGCCCTCCAGTCGACAGATCCAAGACCTGACACTACCATACTTGACCCCAACGATCATCGCACTGCACTTTTCAACAAACTCATGCATCAATTCTACTTGGAACCGGGAACGTCTGTACTAATGATCAGGGACGCTGCGAACACACCCAAGCTGGTGGTACCTTACAAGCTCCGCGCAAAATATCTCCACCAGGCTCATGACTGTGTAAACCACTCTGGAATCAAAACACCTATCCAGTTACTGGTGGGAATATAAAAATCGCGACATCAAGGCATCGTCCATTCATGCCAAACCTGTGCTAAACGTAAAATTACGGCAGGCACCCAAACCCCATGGGCCATTGTAGGCGAGGCAGAAAACCGTTCGAGGTTGTCTACATAGATTTTGTCTCAATGCCCCTCTCAAAGGGTAAACGGTACATTCTCACTATCTTAGACAGCTTCAGCCGACATCTCATGGCCATACCATGTGCTAGAGACCGTGCAATCGACGCAGCCTGCAGGCTCTACCAGTTCTTCCTCCGTCATCGGGAGATTCCCCGCATCGTGTCCTCCGACCGAGGAACCCATTTCACCGGCGAGGTCTACAAGGATTTCTGCGACCTAACATCGATCACTCAGGAACTTCACTGTCCATGGCGGCCACAAAGTTCGGGAAACATCGAACGGCAACACCGGACCCTCAAAAACGCCCTCTACATCATCTGCGAAGATAGAAACTGTGAATGGACGGACGTCCTTGAATCCGTAGTTTCCTCCATGAATGCCACGGCCAACACCGCCACCGGCGCATCTCCACATTACATAATCACTGGTCGTCAACCACATATCGGACTACCAAAGATACCACGTCAAGATATCATCAACAACAATCCTGGTGCTTACGGCATGCAGATAAACGCCCTGCTCCGACAGGTACACCAAAGAGTTGCCCTGGCAAACAACGAGGCTGACCACAGAATGGAAGCCAAACTGAACCATAAGATTTTCAAGGACCCGATACAGGTCGGCGACAAGGTGCTACTCTACCGACCTCAGTCCACAATAGCCCACTCATCACATCTGCCTTGGATAGGCGACTTCGAAGTCACCAGAACTAACGATATGGTGCTCCAAGTCAAAAACAAAAACGGCGAAACCGATTGGGTCCACCAGGGACATATTTATCGGCTCGTACCGCGACCAAATCACTTGCAATACATGAGCCGGTCACCTCCACCCCCACCCCCATCTCCGCTCCACCAAATCCCCCATAACCCGTTGACACGGCCTCCTACACTTTCGTCAGGGGAGCATCATATCACAGATGACTGCAGTTCCGGCAATAATAGCCAAAACACAGCAAAACGGAAAACACGCGGGCAACTCCCAGCACGCTTCCAAGACTTCGTAATGGGCTATAAAACAAAATAAAAAAAAAAACTAAATAAAAAAAGAAACATTCACTCGCACACACCAACAACATTACTAACAAAACATCAAATCAGGGTAAGATCTGGGGAAGCTGTTACAAGATGAGATCTTGCCCTGCTTCGATAAACGGAAGTTACCATCACGAGTCCCCAACTCGAAATGAAAACTGCACGTCTACGCATAGGCTCGACGCAGATACTTCCGTTTGGGATAAACTCGAAAAAAAAAAAATGAAAAGAATTAAATCAACCAATCGGACCGTCTTCAAAAAAATTGCCATTTGGAGCCGATAGGTGTGTATAAGTTCAACACGGGAAAGTTTGCCATTCAACGGCGGAGGCAGAAGGGTCACGTCGCTCGCTCCTGACACACTGGCCCGGCGACTTGACCGCTGCTGCTAATGAACTCTCCGACGCCTTGTCAAAGGGTACCTTTCCCCTTCCATAAGTCAAGTTAACTCCACGAACTTTACTTGCCACTACCATAGACATTCAACTTCTTAAATACAAACTTTTTACTTGTTCTTATTTTCCTCACTAAAAGAGACTATAAAATATATCTACAGTCTTTCTTGTTCTTTCGATTCTGAATTTCATTGTTTGCAACCAAACGCAGTATTTTGCCCACATTGTTTTCACATCGCCCATGTAACTAAATACGGAATATAACAATAGTGACATAGCAAATACTAAAATCTTAGAAATTCATTGGAAATGATTTTACTATAGGAATTGGGGTGAAGGGAGTAGGATTTTTATATCGGGCGACTTTCGTTAAAAGTATGTTTTAAAGGTTTTGGAAAATTCTGAAACTAATTTTAATATAACGTGAGAAATGTTATTTGTTTTAACATATAAGCTTTGTTAATGAAAATGAAACATATTTGTAAAGGATTTGCTTATTTGTATGGCTTATAAGTAAAGTAAATCATTTCCAAATTAGTCTCTAAAGGACATAACTGTTAAAGGAAATAAAATTGTTACTAAGATGAGAAAAGTTGTTGAAAATTGATTTGTTAGCTCAGAAAGCTAACATTACAAAATACTAAAGTCATTCAATATAGATATTTTTATTATTTTATTAATCATTTTAATTGATATATTAACTCAGTAATTTCTGATTGAATTAAATATTACAAGCCTATGTTAGAAATTGTTTAATTAACACTTCCTTTGCAATATAAAAAAGAAGCAAGAAGCAATGTTATAAAAATTAAGATAAGAAAAAGGAGAATTACAAAGCACTGCTGTTATAAAAGAAAAAAGAAAACTAAGAAGAAACAATTTTATAAAATCAATCAATCAATCAATCAATGTGAAGAATAAAAAGTAAAGATACAAACTTTTAAATATGAAAAATATGTTCTAAGAAAATTTGTCTGTTTAAAAAAAAGTCTTTTAAACAGATTACTAAATGTGAGTAAATTGTTTATATTTTTTTTGTTACCGTAAGAGTCATATAGAATAATATGAATGTTTCCTTTCTTCTTTTTTTTTTTTTTTTTTTTTGTTACAAAACCCTATTCTTCATTGAATCCTTATTGAAAGAAGGATGTCTCGAGAAAAATCAAAGAGTGTTTCCCTTTTCATATAAGATGATATTTTTTTTCTACTTTTAGAACCACCTCCTCCCCCTTAAAAAATAAAATATATTTCTTTCATATTCACAGTTGATTGCTATTGGATTTTTGCTTTTGATATACAAAGATCTTGCAGTTTTGTGTTTGTCTACTGTTTTATGGGTGTCATCTTTTGTTGTGACGTTACTTCCATTTTTTTTTTTTTTTCTTTTTTTTTTTTTGCAACCATGCAACATACCAAATATTGCTTCTATGTTACTTAGTTGCAAGCGAATTTGTACAGGGCTAGGCTAAAGGGCTTTAACTACCCTATTTATCCATAGCTGACTGCCGTAGTAGAGTCATGCTTTTGTTGAGGGTATTAGTGTGTAAGTGAACACAAACTGTCCCAAGTATAATTTGAACTCACTTTGCTCAATTCCAGTTTCCTTGCCCTTTTAACTGTTAAGTTGATTGCATCATTTTTTTTTTTTTTTTCAGATATATATTAAAAGAAAAGAAACTTCTAGTTATATTATGTCACTTCCTGATTGTTGAAAATTTTCTTTAATATTCAGATACCAGTGAATGGCAGAAGATGTTGCAAGTGGGAACTGCTCCTGGTAATACAGTGCGTTACTACAATTTCCTCACTGCTCAGCCAATCTTTCAAACTGTGATAGGCATGCTGCCCAAGGTTGAAATCAGTGAAACTCAAAAATCAGTAAGTTACCTGCATTTTACTTGTACTGTTTGTAAAACATTAATGTGTTTTTTTTTAAATTCAATTAATGGTAAGCATTAATTGAATTTTAAAAATAACCAATGTAAACCTTATGAAAAGTTAAGCATTTAATAGATTATATATGAATGCATTACATCCTTAGCAATAAACTTTATAAAAGAGTTGAAATCTAAGCAATACCTCTAATGGGCTTTGTAGCCATGCAACTGGGATACATGATTGTGGGCAGACATGTAGGGACATAAATTACTACTAAATAATTTTTGAGAAGGTTTTTTAGTAAGGTACTTCTTATTAATATACAGTAGTAATTAGTTAGCAAATATACCTCTTATTAGAAAGCACCTTACAACTACAATAATCATCGACTTATTTCCATAAATGAAAATGTCAAAAAAAAAAAAAAAACTAACCTTTTCTATATCTGTTTATATTTCTGAGATGAGGTATTATGTACACTATTTACATTATTCAGACTATTGTCCTCATCATTGTTGCCAATTTTATCCGATCCTTCAGTCTCTGTCTATATTTCTGAGATGAGCTATTATGTACACTATTTACATTATTCGAACTATTGTCCTCATCTTTTTCGTCATATTTATTACAATGTTTCAGCCGTTGTATGCTCCAGCCTTCTTCAGGTGGTTGGAATGTCGAACCTCAATGCTCAAAAAATCAATTTTATTCAACAAAAATTAAGAACAAAGTCTGAAAAACATGATGAATCTCAGGCAAGCAATAATGTTGATAATTTGTTTGTAAAATTTGGATGCTTTTCTTTTTATATGGCAAGCATTAATTGGATTGAAAAAAACAAAAAAAAACAAAACAATGTAAACCTCATGAAAAGTGAAGTGTTTAATAGATCACATGTGAATGCATTAAACTTTATGGTAGTAGGTCAGAATGTCAAAATAGTGAATGGACAAAGAATTGAACTGACTAAATGACGAATGGATATAATGTCAAAAAGACAACATTTTAAAAGGACAAAATGTAAAATAAAGTAAGTTTTATTTTTACCACAATTGTAATTTCTCAAAAATAAAAATTTTAACTTTTTACTGTAGTTTGAATGCAGATCCTCCTCTAAAAAAATTAGCAATTATGTAGAAAGATTTTTTTTTTTTTCATCAGAGGTTTTTAATTTTAAAATAATTATTTACTAGCAGGATACTTGTGTGCTAAGCAAAAGGTATTCTACTGTAGACACATTTCTAGCCTTTAGTCATTTGAATCAGTTTGACTTGATTTTTCTGTTGGCACTTGGTTCATTCGACATTTTGTCCATTCAATACTTTGTCTATCTGACATTTCTGGCCTTTTGTCATTTAGTCAGTTTGATTCTTTTTCTGTTGGGCACTTGGTCCATTTGACACCGTGTCTGTTTGATACTTTGTCCACAGACATACTGTCTGCACACAAAACTTTATAGCAATAAACTTTATAAAAGGGTTCAAATACATCTTGTCTACTTGGTAGTAATCACTTTTCATAATAAAAATTATGAGAGAGAGAGTGATAAAACTATTCTGTTTACTTACTATTTCTGTTTATACCAGATGAATATCAGTTCTCTACAATGAAAACAAGTTGTTAGTAAAATTCTCTTACTACTATGAAACAACATTTTCAGCAACATGTTTTCTAAATTTCTTGTTAGTATACTAAGTTCACTTGAATTTTCTACACTGGACATAGCTAGAGAGAGCTGACTATATGAGAAACATTTGAATAACTTTTTAATGTTTATATTATAATAATTCAGCAATTTTACTATTTTATCACTTGTTTAAATAATTCTGTACAATTATAAGACAATCTATTTGAGCAGATCATTTTGACTTGTTTAGATAATTCTGTAAGAAGATAAAAAAAAATCAGCTCTACTTGACTAATTTGTAGTAATGTGAAATGTCAGATAACAACAATGGTCACTAGGAATGCTGCAGGAAAGATTATAACGTTACTAGCAGTAGAGCCCAGCGTTGCCCGGGGATATAACAGTAAGAGATAGATCAAGTATCCACCATCATAAAGACTGAAAAATAAAATTGACAAAGATTATTGTTTAAGGTTGACGGACACGCATGTCTTAATTTTTTTTTTTTTTTACGAATTGGTCAAACCCAAACTCAAACAAAAACATTGTTTTCAATCGTTATGAGTCTCCCAGTTGAATTTTATTATAAATAATTGTCTTGTAAATGGGATTTTTAAAGCATTCTGAATGTAAAAATAAAGAAAAAAGTGTGCAAGACAATAAGAAACACTACATGCAAAAAAAAAGTGAAGTTTTGTTGAAATCGGTTGAAAAATGTAGGTAGCCTTTCTGTAATCTTTTAGTTTTACAATTTATGATTTTTACTTATTGAATACAGTAAAAAAAAATTGCATATTTTGCTTGTGGTGATTCATAATTAGAATTCTGATTTGAATATATTTTCCACTCGTTGTTTCTAATACAAAAATATTAACTTTATTTGGGTTTATTAATTATGATCTAACAAATCTTATTCATTTAGTAGCCTTTCTGTAATAATAATCTTTTTTACAATTTATGATTTTTACTTATTGAATACAGTAAAAAATTGGACACCATGTGTATTTAAAGTAGTTTCCTGTTCGGTTATTATTTTTTTTTAGTTAGGACTTGTGTATGTTTAGATTTCATTATCTTTCCCTAAAGATAAAGAATTTATCCGATGTTTGTATTCGTACAATCAGTAGAGATCATTAGATTATTGTTTAAGGTTGACGGACACGCATGTCTTAATTAGTTTTATTTTTTTTTTTTTTTTTACGAATTGGTCAAACCCAAACTCAAACAAAAACATTGCTTTCAATCGTTATGAGTCTCCCAATTGAAAAGGAATTTTATTATAAATAATTGTCTTGTAAATGGAATTTTTAGAGCATTCTGAATGTTAAAAATAAAGAAAAAAGTGTGCAAGAGAATAAGAAACACTAAAAAAATAAAAAAAAGTGAAGTTTTGTTTTATCGGCTGAAAAATATAGGAAATCCGATGTGAGTTGTCCCCCTTCCATTTTCACGATGTCTCTTAATCGTGTTTTCAAATTGATTTTGTGCAAAAACAATTATATTTTTCCCATTTTTGGCACTGTTAGAACCACCACAAGGTAATTTTATGTAGTCCTGTGAAGTTTTGTTGAAATTGGTTGAAAAATGTAGGAAATCCGATCCAATATATAAACGTTACAGACACACACACACATACACAATCTGCGTTTTATAATAAGATCAGGCCTAAAATTATAAAATTTAAAAAAAAAACAAAAAAACAACAAACTGTTTAGAAGCCTTGATTAAATTTATTTTGCATTTTCTTTAAATGTAAATGCACCAATATTTTTTTTCTGATAACATACGACTAAATTTTCACAATGGAGATATAATAGTAAAGCATAATTTTAGAATAATTTTATCAACTGATACTTAGCTTTTGTTTGAATTTCTGTGATGGGGAGTGTTGTGTTGTCAGGTGTATGCTTATTTGTGTCAAATAAGAACAAACACAATTTGAACCTTTTTAATACTACTGGATAGCAATAGATAAAAAACATGACCTGTGATTACTGGTCGATTGATAGTTCAGTACGTGAGATGTGAGCATGCATGACCACCATCTTGAAATTCTTTTTCTTTGTTGTCAGAGAGTTCTGATCAAGCAGTATAATTTGGTTCCTATTTAGGGAGCTAGTTATCTCCCTTTTTATGATGTCTATCCTGACAAGGAGTTATTTTATCTATTTATATTCAGACTATTGTCCTCATTTTTTGTTGAAAGTCCAAATATAAATAAAAACAGCTTGTATGTAGCAATTTTTTAAATTTGAATTAAAAGTAACACAAATGAAATATTTATTAAAATATGCTTTTAAAAAATTTTTTAAATGCTAAATGGTAAATGCAATTTGTTATGGTATAAATTTTACAATTTGTTTAGTGAAATATATTCTAGGTTGTTTTTTTTTTAACTAAAACCTATAAAAGTTGGGGAACCATTTTTTTTAGACACTTTCTTTTTTTAAATTTTTTTTTTGTTACTTTTTTTTCGTCAATTTTTCTTTCTTTTTTTCTTTCTTTCTTTTTTCTTTTTTTATTAAAGTTTCTTTTTTTTTCTTTTTTCTCTTCTTTTTTTCTTTCTTTCTTTCTTTTTTTCTTTCTTTTCTTCTTTTTCTTTCTTTCTCTTCTTTCTTTCTTTTCTTTCTCTTCTTTCTTTCTTTTTTCTTTCTCTTCTTTCTTTTCTTTCTTTCTTTCTTTCTTTCTTTCTTTTCTTTCTTTCTTTTTTCTTTTTTCTTTTCTTCTTTCTTTTCTTTTCTTCTTTCTTTTCTTTTCTTCTTTTTTTCTTTTCTTTTTCTTTTTCTTTTCTTCTTTTTCTTTTTTTTTTTTTTTTCAATGATATTTGAGAAACTTTCTTTTTTCCTTTCTTTTTTCCTTTTTTTTTTTTTTTGTGTATCCAGATTCCTAAAGAAGAAGGAAAGTTTGTGGAACTGCCTGGTGCCAAGAAGGGAGAGATGGTTGTCAGGTTTCCTCCTGAAGCAAGTGGGTTAGTGTTCTAAGGAATTTTATTTGGTGTAAATTATCATTACAACTCAGGTATACTAATATTAAACCAGTTGTTCAATGACAGGTAATCTTCTGTTGTTGTAACAGTAGTAGAAATAAGCAGTAAAATTTGTTGTTTTGTGGTTGATAGCAGCCCTCATTTTATTCCAGTGTAGAACAGAAAAAGGACAAACAAAGGAGTAGGATTTTTTAATTCAAAATAATTTGATTTCCAGTTGTATGAAAAAAATATGAAGAGCCATTGTTTGATTGTTTATCTGGTTTCATTTATACATAGATAAGTTTAGATGTCTGTAGTCTAATGATGGAAAAGAAAGCATTTATGTTATGCAACAAATATTTTTCAAGATAATTATTGTAACCTAAGGAAGGTTACTTAATAGAATAATCACACAAAGGTTGTTAATTAACAATAATACTTAGGAAAAGAACAACATGTATAAGATTTGCTAGCGGTGCGTAGAAGTAGTAGTCAACTGCTAGAAGTAAGTCAAGTGAATTCGATAATGAATCCTTCAACTGCAGGATATCTACCAACCACCCCACACGGTCAGATGCGGCACAAGGTCGAATTTAATGTGGGGTATCCAAGTCTGTAGGCTCAGCCCAAAATTTCTCATAGACCCATATAAAACAGGGTCAGTAGCTGTTTCCCCAAGATGAGACTCTGCTCTTCAACATAGCCTCGTCTGGAGATCCTCTCTGCACAGCTGAAGATGAATCTCCAACTACAGACCAACATACAGTATTTACTACCTTATTTATGTGAATGGGGGCATACCCATTATTGTTCGTAGGTATGCTACAACAATAATCTCATTCTTTATCAGTGCACTTAATTAAATAGTGAATAGATATGTCTGTCAATGTCTGTTATCTAATAATTTTATGCAACGAATAATTTTCAACATAATCTCTTTCCTTGTCAATGCCCTTAATTCAGTAGTGAAAATGTAGGTTCATCAGAGTCTGTAGTCTAATGATGTTAAAGAAAGCATTTAGATTCTGCAACAAACTTGTATTTTTCAACATAATCACCTTCCTTCTCAATGCATTTCATTCAATGCTTCAACACTGACTGAACATTATACAATGAAAATTTCAGATAAAAATTATACAATGAAAATTTCAGATAAAAATTATACAATGAAAATTTCTGATAAAAATTATACAATGAAAATTTCTGATAAAAATTCAGCTATTATCAGTTTCCACTCTGATATATTTATATTTGTTGTGGCCTTGTTAGGGCCAGAAATAAAATTGCAAAGAGAGGAATTGAGTTAAACAAATATATTAACAGAAACATACAAACGAGTGTTACAGCAAGAATGTTCAGTCTGACTGTCAGAGCTGACTGCTGGAAACTTCCCTCTCCAAAAGGCAGTATCTGGGAGAGTCCATTCGTGCGTGGGTAAATTACCATAACCATATTCCTTGCTCAAATCTGCATCAACACCTGATGATGTGTACTTAGTTGGCCATAGGATTTGTCATGTCTCTTTTAATCACATCAAATTAGTGAACGTGAGAGATGTCATTTGATCATGTCAGTCATAATTCTCTTTGGTTACTTATGCCGCTTTACTTGATATATGGGCCGAAGATCACTTTCGGTGTTGCTGATTTTTATGTCCACATACACCAATTATGAATATATTGAAATATCACTTTTTTAACTTTGGTAACAAGTGATTTTTATTTTAATCTATATTCTGTCATTTAACACTGACTCCTTCTTAAATAGAAAATATACAAATATATATCAGTGAAAATATCTACACTGACCTATGAAATATTTCCTATTTTGATTTATGATACGATTAATACAGCTGACATTTTAGAAAGCATTTTTTGACTTTGTTGATTCAGATTGAAAAAAAAATTGTCAACATTACAATATTACCAAATATGAGAAACATATTCCATGATCCTGCCAATTTATTACACAACAAATGGTGTCCTGAGTAAGATGATAAACTACATCCAACAACAAGGCCTTGATCAGAAGGTTTTGAGGAGTGTGGAAACACCTCTTAATTACTGGTGTTCACAGGTCCACCCTGACCTGGGGTGGTAGCACCTGTCATGGTCTCAGCTATGGGCAAATAGTTAACCCCCACAAAAGGGGTAAAAACACTATGAAAGTATAAAAATAGGTTTCTTTTTTTGAAAAAAAGTATTACCATCATTAAAAATCTTGTCGGCATTAAATAACTCATTGAGGTGTTGATATGCCGTAAAAAACCAAATCAAAACACATGTTTATCTGGTCACATGATTTGTGACGTCTTCTTTTCGTCCTATTTACCAAATATGAGCAACATATTACATGATCCTGCTGCCAGTTAGCATTCCCTTTGTTTACTTTTGACACATTACTAAAGAACTATTTTATTATACATTTTCAATCTTTTATAAATAAATTGTTTTGCCGTTGGCTTTTATAATTTCTTAATTAATACAAATTAAGCCATTTTTCTTTCACATAAATGCCCTATGGGATAGTATGAATACATCTATTCTCCCACCACATACTGATTAAATAGCAAAGTAGACTGAATTTTCTAACTTTGGTTGTTAACCAGTCTAACAGAAGGAAACTGAATTCCAAACCATGGGGAAGATAATGGTAAACCACTCCTCTATCTTTCCCAATAATACCTGGCAATTTACAGATATAAAAAAAAAAAAAAAGAAAAGAATCTGGAGAGCCATGATTGCATCCATTCTGGAAGGACATGGCATTATAATAAAAAATGATCAAAAAAGGAAAATCTTATTCATGGTTTTTGTTTTATTGTTTTGAATGTAGTATGACATTTGTAATAGAAACTACATTTATTTCTTTTTCTCTTCACTTAGGTATCTTCATGTTGGACATGCCAAAGCTGCCTTGCTCAATCAACATTACCAAAAATTGTTTGAGGGCAAACTGATCATGAGATTTGATGACACTAATCCTGCAAAAGAGAATGAAATATTTGAACAAGTAAATAATCTTGAATTTATTTGAACCCTTCTATAACGCCATCACTAAGGCTTTATTTTGGTAAATAGAATTAAATTTATTAATACATTCACTGCTACCTTGGATATTTGAACCCTTCCATAAAGCCATCTATGTTTGTACAAGAGCTAATAGAGATTTGTAAATGAGACTACATAGAGCTTATTTTAATGAATAAAGTTTAATATCTGTCTATATTTCTGAGATGAGGTATTATCTACACTATTTACATTATTCGGACTATTGTCCTCATCTTTGTTGCCATATTTATTACAATGTTTCACCCGTTGTACGCTCCGGCCTTCTTCAGGTGGTTGGAATGTTGAACTGAACCCTTTATTTCGCTCACTGGGGTAGACTGTTCTTGTTCCATGTACCATGTTTTAATGGATGTCAGATCAGTTATCTCCTGTTAATTCCCCTCTGAAAGTTCTCCACTGCCTTAACCCGGTATTGAACTCACACTCTTTGGATCCTGTCACTGGATCTAACTAATGCCTTTATCCATTGTGCCATGTGTCCTTGAGGACATTTCAAACAAAACATGCAATGATAACAGCAGAAATTGCAATATGAGCACAGGAAAAAAATGATTGCAGAAGACATTAGGTTTATAATACCCAGAAATTCATACACAGATGTCCTCAAGGACACATGACACAGTGGATAAAGGCGTTATTTAGATCCAGTGACAGGATCCAAAGAGTGTGTGTTCAATGCCGGGTTAAGGCAGTGGAGAACTTGAAGAGGGGAATTAACAGGAGATAACTGACATCCATTAAAACATGGCACGTGGAACTAGAACAGTTTACCCCAGTGAGTGAAAGTGTTCAGTTCGACATTCCAACCACCTGAAGAAGGCCAGAGCATACAATGGCTGAAATGCTGTGATGTGATAAATATGACACAAAGATGAGGACAATAGTCCGAATAATGTAAATAGTGTAAATAAATTTTAAATTTATTAAATTATAAAGAATGATGTGAATTAAAATCTTTGGTACTGGCCTTTTCTTCTAGATTACCAAGTCACACATTTGTATGTCACATGGTTTGTTTTTCTTACAAAACTGCTTTACAAATAAAAAAAAACATTGAGAATAGCTTCAGCAAAGTAACCATTCATTATTGCCTTAACATGTAATGGGTGCACATGTGCAACAGATGCACATGCATTGTGTGGCAATAATTTTTGTTCAACTTTTTGTCTAGATTTGCTCAAAACTGAACACTTTTTAAATTTAAAAGCAATATCATTTGTCATCTTTTTTTTTTTTTTATCCAGCTCTTTCATTGTCCTTTCTTCTCAGCCACATTTTCTCAGTTTCTTTCACTCTCAGTAAATCCTTGTATCTTAGGGGCTTTATCACCTTACTTGGGTTGAAATGATTAAAAAAAATTAAAATCCTAAAACATGCAGAAATTTGTTTTTTATTGTGTAAATATTCAAAATTAAGTGCTAATATGGATTAAAGAATAAAATTAATTCTTCAGATTTGTTTTGTTGCAGGTGATTCTTCAGGATTTGAAATTACTTGGAGTTGAATATGATGTGCTGTCATATTCTTCTAACCATTTTGAGGCATTGCTAAAATTGTGTGAATGCCTGATCAAGAAGGGTTTGGCCTACGCCGATGAAACTGACCCCGAAGTAATGAAGCAAGAAAGAGAGGAACGTAAAGAGTCCAAATACAGAAATCAAAGTAAGTACTTGGTCTTGTTAAAATCCAAAGAAGGATTTGCAATGTTATCAGTCCTGACCTATCATCTTGGCTTCACTCACTTTCCTGCCACCAGAGCATAACTGTACCTTTCCTATAAATATTTTCATGGTAATTGTTCTGAAGAGCATTCTTCTTTAGTATGTTGACTTTATGAATTTAAGTGCAGTACTAGATTGGCAACTAGGTCTCATCATTTTACAGTTGAAATGTCTAGATGTAATCGTAAGTTCTACGTTAATAGTTTCTTCTCCTTTTCCAGCTTCTTGCTTTCCATTCAAGTTTGATAAATCAAAAATTTAAATGCAATGTCAATCGTTATCTTCTGTCTTCTTAATTCTTGTTCTTTTATTGTCTTCTTTCCTTGATAGTAGTTTTTCTTATATTCTCTAACATTCAGTAACCTCTTGTGTCCTAGTGGCTTTATTGCCTTTGATCTTCATAAATTTAAATGCAATGTCAATTGTTATCGTCTGTCTTCTTAATTCCTGTTCTTTTATTGTTCTCTCTCCTTCATAATGTTTTTCTTTTTTTCTCATATTCTTTTACACTCCATAACCCATTGTGTCTTAGTGGCTTTATTGCCTTGCTTGGAGTAAAATGATTAAAAAAAAAAACATTGAAAATAGTATGAATCTGTCCTTTTTTTCTCCTTACAGCTATGGATTAAATAGTAGAGCTAACTGGACTCTTCAGTCTTAGTTGGCAACCAGTCTATGAGTAGGAAAACTCTGAATTCCTCAACTAGATGGAACTTGTTAGTATGAGAACATGTGATTTCTGTTTGAATTATCAGGATGAGGATTTGCTCTCCATGAGGTGCTTGTCAATTATCAAGGCATTTCAAACTGAACCCTTCATTTAATCTATGGCGTTAAATTGTTCTTGTTCTGCTGCCTATATCGAGGGACATTTCCTCTAGTTCTTATTTACTACTGCTCACTTATTACTTGCCTCATTTCCACTAAGCTCAAGCATACACTGCCCAGGGATTGATTTCATTATTACTATGATCACTGAATCAATACTTTAATCCATTGGACAATTCTTTGTAGAGAACTTGGAGCCTTAAACCTAACCTGCCTGTTGATGAGTGCTGCTACTGATACTTGTCACACTCAAATTCCCTGAAGGTTATCCAGATCAATATGCAATTTAATGAAGGCCAGAGGACACAACTGCTGAAACATTGTGATAACAATTACAAAGATAAGGACAATAGTACATGTGTAACTAATGGAAATATGTAGTCATCTCAGGGGAGGAAAACCTCAGCAGAAAACTTTTTTTTTTTCCTCTCCAGAGATTGGTGTGGAGCCAATCACCCCACCTTGTGGAACAATTCAATTACAGAAGCTTCACCAAAAGGTCTTATATTCTATGAGGCACTGGGCAGATAGTAACTGATAATTTTGCTCATATTTCAAATACGATATTATGCATGCTGCCTAGAAGACACTTTTGCATGGTTAGGTGATATCAGCAATTGACAGTTTGTTTTCTTATGTTGTTTATATCACAGCTATCATATTGGAATTAATTTCAACTTGCATTCGTTGATATAGATTTATTTCTCATTTAAAATAACCATAAATTGGTTTATTATTATTATTATTATTATTATTTCCTTTCCAGGTGAAGCCGAGAATTTGAAAATGTGGGAGGAAATGAAAGCTGGCACTGAATATGGCCAGAGATGTTGTATTCGAGCAAAAATTGACATGAACTCTGACAACGGATGCATGCGAGATCCTACACTTTACCGTTGCAAACCTGAACCTCATATCAGAACTGGAACTAAATATAAGTAAGTTGTGTGTGTGTCCGAAAAGTATCCATCCATTTAATATATATAAACAATAAACACACACACACATATATATATTATATAATGGCAGGTTTAGTCTAGTTCAAAGTACTTTGCTTGGTATGTCACAAACCTATCACAGAATCTCTTGGATTTTTCAAAACAGTCTGCAAAGTCCTCTTGTGAGACTGCTGTCAGCTTCCTCATCATGTTCACCTTAATCTCATTAGGTGTGCTTTTAAAAAAAAAATATTTCAGGTAAATAAATCTGAAATGTAGATGTTTGTGACATACCTGGGTGAGTAAACATTTTACCAAAATCATTCTCAAGATTTGAAGAAACTACTCAGTCATTGTGAATGCAACACTCATGCTCCCTGAATGGTATATACCTGCCAATTGAGTATCCACATGGAAGAGTGTTTACAGATGTGCAATCAGGTCCCTGAGGCTACACAACCAGTTCTTGAAATGAACAGATATATTCTCAATTAACTGCATTTTTCTTTAGATGCTAAGGGCTTGCATGTGTCGTCCTTTTATAATACATATAACCAGCTGACCCCACTTTTGTCACACTTGCCGTCTTGCTTTTACAGACTCTTCCTTTTTTTTAGCCTCTATAGGCTTTATTATTTGGTCAAGCTAGTAGGACATAATGAATCTATCATACCAGCCGTCATGGTCCTGCATCAAGATAGGAATGTCATTAGGGTGTCATTCTGTGTCATAGCATATCTGTTCAATGTAGGTGGTTGCTATGCAACCAACCAGTCTTGCTTTATGGCTAGTTTTGTTTTGCTTGCCAGCAGTGTTCTCCAGTGCATTCTGTATTCACATAAGATTGCAGAAATATCGGAGATGGGTCCATAAAGCTGTGATTTAGTTGGATATTGTCTCCAAGAGATGTAAAGTATAGCTCTTAGCATTGGAATATTCCATCAAGCTTAGACTCTAGGGTTTTAGTTAATATCCAAGCAGTAGTACCATACATTAAAACCACCTCTACAGTGGCTTGAAAGAAATTCTGTTTGAGGTCATCTGGTAGATCAGATTTCCAGATTATATCCATTTCATTCAAGGTGACCTAGGCTTTAGCTATGCAAATTTTCACATCCTTTTCAGCAGAACTTCTCTCCTTCCTAGGTATGCAAAAGATTCAACAGATTTTATTCATAAGAGTCCAGGTCTGGTTTCAAATGTCAGTAGTTCTAGGCAAGTAAAATTCAAAGATTAGGACAACTGACCGAAAAATGTAAATAGTATAAATCTTACATTAGTTTAGCACAAGGCATCACACAGTGAGCACTGAACTGATAATGCTAACAAGTTTATTAGTGTCAAAGTTTCAAGTTCCACGTTAATAAGATAAACTTACTGGCAATCAATGGCTGCGTGAATATAGGTGGTTTTTGTCTTGCCAACATTGTACCTACATCCCATGTTTAACCATATTTATAGAGTTTCAGGTGGCTGCTTTAAATTCAAGTGTTGTACTTCTAGATTGGTTGCTAGCCATGGGTAGGGAGTCCAATCAGGCTGGCTATTTAAACCTGGTTAATTTAGTGGATCAACCTGACAATTCTGTCGAGTGAAGGAGAAAATTTGACGAAATTCCGTCGAGTGGAGGAGAAAATTTGACGAAATTCCGTCGAGTGGAGGAGAAAATTTGACGAAATTCCGTCGAGTGAAAGGAGAAAATTTGACAATTTCGTCGAGTGAAAGGAGAAAATTTGACAATTTCGTCGAGTGAAAGGAGAAAATTTGACAATTTCGTCGAGTGAAAGGAGAAAATTGGATGAAATTTCATTGAGTGAAGAAGAATACTCTAATGTTTATCCTTTTTTCTTTTTTCCAGAGTCTATCCAACCTATGATTTTGCTTGTCCAATTGTTGACAGTATCGAAGGTGTCACTCATGCATTGAGAACCACAGAATATCATGACAGGGATGAACAGTATTTTTGGCTTTTGGAGAAGTTAGGTAAGTAAATAAAGAGAATTATAATCATTTGTTGATGGTGCAGGGTCAGGGGAATAATCCTAACAATGTTAAATTTCTAGCAAATTTTAAAATCTTTTGTTCGGTTGGAAAGCAGGAAGTTTATATTCTACTAAAATCTTTGAAATTCTGAAAGAAGTTTAATATACAATAAAAGCTAAATAATATTGATAAAAGTTAATTATTAAAACTTTCACTGGGGTGAATCAATGAATCGATAACCTGGCATGTCATTAGCTGAATTTGAATCTTACACTTTCACTGTATAACACTCGTACAATGATTTGTGAATTATGTTAGGAATTCAACATTTGTTGTGCAAAATAAGTGAATTTTTCATCATTAGGCTCCAAACTTATTGATGCATCTACATATTAATTATTAAATTAAGTGCATTAAAAAGTAAAGGATTATGCTGAGAAATATTGGTTGTTTCTTTATAATTTGGCTGTTTGATATTCATGCATATTAACTATTTAATTAAGTAACTTAACCAGGAAGGATATTATGTTGAAAAATACTGTATATAAGTACTTTTTATTATGTTATGAAACTATTGATTTAACTACTTAAATATCAATTATTTTTATACTCTTGAATTATTACATGTATAATGAGAGGAAATACAAAAATTAAATGCATAACATGCTTGGCAAAATGAGTTAATATATAAATGCATTGCTAATGATTTTACTATAGAAAAGAATTATAAATTATGTTAATATGTAGATTAGGGTATTAAATGGGGCAGATGCATAGCAATACTTGTATTTTAGCATCAATTACGTTTGAACTTGATTAAAATGTAAAAAAGTTTTCAGTTTTTCTTATTACTGCCCACTGTCTCTACCTCTCTCTTCCATTCCTATTCTGATTTTTTTTTCATTAACAATCTATTGTGATTTTTTTGATTTTTTGTAACGTTTCGGTCATCTATTAACAATCCAAATTATCTTTTTTGATAAGTGAATTGTCAAAAGGAAATTCGGGAATGGTGGTTGATGAAAAAATTCAAGGAGTTTTGCTAAATCGAATTTTGACTTGAACAAAAATTCACCAAGTGCCATTTCCTTGGAGTCATCTATCTGCAAGGCACTGTTGACAATTGCATTGAAAGTGAAGGAAAAAAACAAAGACACTTGTCCGTCCAGTAATTCAAAATATCCTTTTTTCTTTCTAAAGTGAATGCAAACAGGATTTATTATTTCCTGATAGAATAAAGACACTTGACAGTCATGTTAACACTTCTCCGGCGCAGGGGCTAATTATAAATATTATTTTTATTTGTTAAAAGTGCATTGCTGGAATGATTTTACTATAGGAATGCATTGAAAATTCAGGGAAGAAAGGGATTGTTGTGGAAGCCTTCTGATTGGTGGTCTGGCGATCCATGAAAATGAGAAGCGAGGAGAGTTCGGGACACACACACACATGCTCGAGTCGCATGACATTACTGATAGAATACAGACAAGGGCTAATCCTGTTCCCATGTGACCTGTCGTCTAAAGTGTAAACCTCCGACTTAGCATTGTTCCAAAGATAATGATTTTATAAATATAGGAATGAGAAACATTGAAAATCACTAACCAACTTGGAAGAATAAATATTATTTTCTTTAAGATTGTTTTATTTCTTTTTTTTCTTGTGGCTCTGGCATATTCGGTCTCAGTCGAATTCGAATGTCAAACATTACTGATAGAATAAGGCGGATTATATGTATAATGTAAATGCATTGCTAATGATTTTACTATAGGAATGCATTGAAAATCAGGAAAATCAAAGGGATTGTCAGTGGTCAGGAATGAATGCAAGCATTACTGATAGAATAGGGCTATTATATGTATAATGTAAATGCATTGCTAATGATTTTACTATAGGAAATGCATTGAAAATCAGGAAGAAAGGGATTGTCAGTGGTCATGAATGAATGCAAACATTACTGATAGAATAAGGCTATTATATGTATAATGTAAATGCATTGCTAATGATTTTACTATAGGAATGCATTGAAAATCAGGAAGAAAGACATTATTAGTGGTCAGGAATGAATGTGAGCATTGATAGAATAGGGTTATAGTAAAATAAGTCAGGCAAGTACATGGATGTGAGATGATACAGTTCAATGCCTAATAAATGAAAGTGTGTGGGAGATTTTTTTTATGTGTGCAGATATGTAAATTAGTATTCATGTCCATGAACTTGCCTGACTTTTTTGCTAAGCTGATGAATATTTGTGAGCACTCCTATTCCAAAAAGTTTTGAAAAACTAATAACATTTTTGCTCTTATATATTGATACTTGTCATAACATACAATTCTTACATTTGCCTTGATAAAGTCGCTCAGAGGATGAAATACATTGGCTAAGATAAGTTTTCCTTTTGTCTTTATTCATATATCTTATATAAAACCATATATCATTAAATATAACACACGACAAATGTCTATTATGTTTGATCATGAACCATTCTAAGCTTTGTATATTGGCCTTAGTTTCAGGAGAAAATGACAAAAACTATCCAACATGTGGATATTTTTTATTATGCTGTTCCTCAGTCTAAGCTTTCGACTTGCATGAGCCATCATCAGAATGGTTACATAGACATTACAACAGAAGTTCACCATCAAAGATGGCATCCTGTTATGTTTACATAGAAATTTGCCATGCAATGTTGAACAGTTTTTGCTGTCATTTTCTCCCAAAACTAAAGCCACTATAGACATTTGTTGTCTGTTACATTTAATAATATATTTGAATATGTTTGAATAATGATCTGCTGCCCCAATACACTATATATATATATATATATATATATTAAATAAAAACAGATCACTTTAAGGTTCCATGTAATAAATTATTTCACCACAGCCCTTTTAAAGGACTGCGGATCATCAGACATTACTTCCAAACAAAAAGGTGAAATAATTTATTACATGGAACCTTAAAGTGGTCTGTTTTTATTTAAATTATTTGCTCTGGATTTACATTGAGCTCTCTGGATTATATCCTCCTTAGGTTTACCCAAACGGATTACCTAGTTTTTCATAAACTAACTATATATATATATATATATATATATATATATATATATATATATATATATATATATATATACAAAATCTATTAACATTAGTTTGTTTTTCATTGCTCCACATTTCACTTGAGAGATTTTGCTCTTTAAAATATACCCTGTTCTCTTTATAGTTTTTCTCTAAAGTCTGGGTTAACATTAGCAGTCTGCATTAAGGTATAAATCAGTTTAAAGTTTGACTAAATGGTTTGTCTTCCCACCTTTGAATGTCCTCTTTCTTCAATAAACCTTACAATGCTACATTAACATACTTATAGACCTGCGCAAACCCTACCTCCATGAGTACAGCCGTCTGAATCTACAAAATACAGTATTGTCAAAACGCAAACTCACCTGGTTTGTCGATCAAGGACTTGTTGATGGATGGTGAGTCATTCTATTTATTCTTTGCATTTTATTCTGCCTGTCACATGATCTTTCTGTCTGTTAAAAGAAGCTTTTTATATTACTGTAAATTATTTGTATTTACTCCTGTATTGCTTTTACAGGCCTAAATTTTAAGTGGCTTTTATTTTTATTATTTCATTTATTTTATCTACTATGTTTGTATACTGGAAAGAGTACACAGTGTTGCTTAAGAAGTATTTTTTTCATAATGCAAACAGACAAGGACTTCTATTTTATTTGTATAAATCAGAGATTGTCAAACTTTTTTGACCTCCTTTTGTTTCTCTTCCTTCTCCGGCGACCTCCATTTAAAATACCTTTGAACCTTAAAACTCACACTGTACTAATTAAATTAAATGCATACCAATCAGGCCAAATGACCTTCAAATTCAGCATCCACCCACCTAAAAAAATGAACAAAAAAGAGTAAGCAATGCCCAGTGTAGTATTAAATAAGTCTCATCAAAATAAGTTAAAAGCTCCTTGGGTAGATGTAACTAAGGCTTTTGTTGCTGTTGATCATTGAACTCAGTGCCTTTCTTTCATCTGCACTGAATAATGCAACATACATTTATACTAAATAAAATTTAGCTCAGTATCATTCTCACATTGACCATCATTCAATCCCTTCACTATCATCGACCCTCTGGATCTCCTCCCCGGGTCCTAAGGATTCACTCAGACCCTGTTTGATGACCCCTGATTTACAGTTAGTACCCTATGTTCCTAAGCTGTCACCCACATCTAAATATGAGTCAATTGTTTACAGTTGCTCTTGTATCTAAGCAGTCGCCCATCCAAGGGATGATCAGTTGATTTACAAAGCTTTTGTCTGGCATAAGGCCACTAGAATTTTGGAGTTTTTTTCTGCCTCTAAATGATCACATCTCATGACCGATCCACTTATTTAAAATTGGATCAGGTTCAAAATTTTCCCCAGCGTCATCAGATTCAGAATCCTTCTCCTAAAAAAGACAATTAGAAAAAGAGCAAGCAATTCTCAGTGTGGCATTAAATAAGTCCCATCAAAATAACTTAAAGGCTACTTGGGTAGATATAACTAAGGCTTTTGTTGCTGTAGATTATCAAAGCTCAGTACCTTTCTTTCATCTGCACCGAAGAAGGCAACATACATGTACACTAAATAAAATTTAGCTCAGTGTCATTCGCGTAACCATCCTCATTCGATCATTCCACTATCATCGACCACCTAAAACTCCTCACTGACTCCTGGAAGATTGCTCGGACCCCGTTTGATGACCACTGCACGATTAAAATCAACAAGGGAAGTAATCACGTATTAATTTACTACCAAATGTTGATTTACCTCCCTTACCGCTATATTTTTATGTGGGAATAAATAATTAGTTTCCCTGAAAAATGACGGCTTTGATTTTATTTTTGACCTTCACAGTTGACCTAAGTCAAGTTTTGTTGAAATACATGCAGTAGGTTTTCAGTCTATAATTAAGACAAACAGACATTTCATTTTGTTTGTATGCATTTATTGTCTGTATATACTGCCCTGAGGGACACAGGTTCAATTTCTGCCAGAGGGCACAAATTTTTCTTCAATAAAATTTCTTAGACATTCAGGCCAGTAGACGAAAATAAATAAATAAATAAATATACTGTTTAAGAAATAAATGAGTTGCCTATTCAAGTAAATGTATCCAATAAAAATAATGTATGAGTGATAAAAATCTGTAATGAGTAATGAAAAATCCCATCTAAAATTGTTTACATTTGGATACAAAACTACAGATATGAAAACTTCAAGAGATCTATGACAGGAGATATTTTTCTTGATAAGCACAAATTTTGGCCTCACCTGACTGTTCTCTGTGGCTAAGTTAGCAAGGTAAAGATAGCTCCCTCTTTCCTGAGGGATGCAGGTTTGATTCCTGCCAGAGAGCACAAATATATATATATATATATATAATATATGAAAAGTGTATATAAATAAATATATATATGTATAATTATTTATATATTATATGCTGTTACTTATTAGAAAGCGCTCAATATCAGAGATAGAGCTAACATATTTGGTTGGATAGATGTGAGTTTGTGACCCTGGGTTTCACGCTTTAGCGATCGTCAGACAAACTGATTAATGTTTTAAAAAATTTGGGTTTATGTAGATTATGTATTGGTGTTATTGTGGAAGTGGTGGGGAAATTTCGTCGTTTTGTCATTCATCGTACTAACGCAAACATCGATGTATGCAGACACATATACATACTTGGTCGTCCGTCGGGACTCATACATATATATAAACATATGTAGACAGTTTAGGCTATGACACATGTATGTATACGGGTGGTGTTATGTCTATACATACGCATTTGTATGTTGAAATTTAAACATTGGAATATATATATATATTATATAATAAACATTGGAATATATATATATTATATATATATATATATATATATATATATATATATATATATATATATATATATATATATATATATTATTTTCTTAGCATTTCACCCAAAGCAAGGTGGGCATGCCACTATTATGCAAGGGGTTACAGAGAGTTAAAGTAAGAGAAAAGACTGGGTATAGAGGGTATTGAGGAAAGGATAAAAAGAAGAATGGAAATCGAGTCATCAGATTGACATTGCATTTAAACTTTTGAAGATTTTACTTATCAGGGAAGCAAGTAAGAGGAAGGGAGTTCCATTGTTGGGAAGTGCAAAAGAAAAAGCTGTTGGCATAGAAGAGGCGGTTACAATTAACTGTTTCAACAGCAAAAGGATATTTGATATTTTAATGAAAAGATTTCTTTGGGCATTTATTTCTTTATAAAATGGTAAATAATAAATCTTTTTAAAAGTTAAATAATTTTTTATAATTTTGTAAATAAACATTGCCAAGGGAGCAAAAGTTGTTAAAATAATAGTGGTTTGATCAATCAATTATTTCTAAAGATCACATAAAACCAGATTGGAAATGAATAAGAAAAACAGTTAATTTTTTTTTATTTAAATTAATTTATAAAGCAAGATTTTGAAATTGGTTCTCTCCATTAAACAAGAACAGCTAAGTTGGGCAATGTATCAGGCACATGCTGGGAGATATAAATAATAAAACCATGTTTATTTCAGATCACAGTTGTAATTAATTTTCAGGGTTTCAAATGGATATGTCCTCACAAAATTTGAGCTTTATATATTAGGTATATATTTGTGTAATATGTGATGTTTGTATACTTTATAGCTTGAGTGATTCTGTTGGCATGAATTGGAGAGCAAATTGGATTCTTTTTTACTTAGCTGAAAAATGTAATTTGATTTGAACATAGTTTTGGTTCTTTCCTCATAAACATAATTTTAATGGTTAACAATCATTTTATGAAATAAAATTAATTATCTGATATGCATCCATGTATCGAATTCTGTTGTTTCTTAGAGTAAAATTCTTTTAATTTAATTTAGGGATGATCCCCGTTTCCCAACTGTCCGAGGCGTGCTGAGAAGAGGAATGACAGTTGAAGGCCTGAAGCAATTCATTGTTGCACAGGTAAAATCTATTATGTAATAATGTCTATTTGTTTACTTAAGTGTTTGAATTAGAATTCATTTATATCTAGATGGTATGTGCAGGGTGGGACAGTTTTTGGTGTCTCTTTTTTGAAAACTAGACAAACTTTAATACATTGGGGAAAAAAATGTTTTCTTTTTCCTTTCTCTTTATTCCTTTCTCTTTATTCCTTTCTCTTTATTCCTTTCTCTTTATTCCTTTCTCTTTATTCCTTTCTCTTTATTCCTTTCTCTTATTTTTAACATTTTCTCTTTCTCTCTTTTTCCTTTTTTTTCCCCTCTCTTCTCATTTCTCTTATGAAATGAATAATCTAATTAGTTTTTCGTTCATTTAAAAAATACACAAAATCTATTGAAAAAAAATAATCAACAATATTTATATCAAATATTTGAAGATAATTGCTAATTGAATTTCATTATTTGTTTTAATTATTAAACAGTTTAATTGTTGTAATAAGATTTTTTTATTCAAATATTCTTGTTTCTCCACACCACAATTTTTTTTTTTTCTTTTTTTTCATTGAACTTGTTTTTGTATTCCAGGGATCATCACGATCAGTTGTCATGATGGAGTGGGATAAAATCTGGGCTGTTAATAAAAAGGTACGTTTCAGAGAATAGCCTTTTGTGCCAATTGCAATGAAACATAGAAATCAAACAATTGGTGCATTACGACAATTACTGCAAAGAAAAAAAGAAAAACTTTCAGAGAAATAATTTTTTATACTCACTATAATAATAATATACTAAAAAGACCCATGAAAATTTCAGTTTTGCTAATGAACTTTTCTAATGAATCTTAATTTTTAAGTTAATGATTGAATAAGTTTATGGCGAGTTCTATGACAATAAAATATCCATAGAAATTCTCCTTTCGCTTGTTAAATATGTGAGCTTAACAACTTTAACAAAATATTGCAATAACAATCATAAATATGAATTGTGGTTGTTATTTTAAGAAGTGAGTAGAAACGAAAAGATTTGAAAGTATTTAATGTCTCCTGCCAATACCTTTTTATGAGGTATTGACAGGAGACATTAAACACTTTTATCTTCCCTCATTTCTTTCTTTTAAGCCAAAACCCCATCTTACAAACATTTCTTTTAATAATAATTTTAAAATAATTCAACAGATGATGTTATTTTATTTAATTTATGGTAGTTGGATTTTTGATGATTGTTGTTCAATATTATGTGTGTAAAAAAAAAAAAAAAAAAACAAAGGTACTTTTATCGTGGTCGCCATTGCTTCTTGGCTTTTTAGCTGAGATAAAAGTGTAGTATCTTTCTCTCTCTACTTCTTTCATTTTCTCACTGAAACTAAGTAGTGACTTTTCCCCTCTTTCCATGGGATCAAAATGTTGAATAGTCCATTATTTATGAAGTATTGACAGGAAGTAACGGGTATGCTAACTAATGAAGGGCAGAACAAGCACAATTATAATAGGATATCAGGTTTTCTTTATTTAGTAATCCATACTTCAGATGCTCATAAATTTAAGAGGGCTTTCACCACATGGGTAATAAAATCTGATCCTGTACCGATTTTTTTTTTTTTTTTTTTTTTTTTTTTTAACTGAGATATAAAAAAGAAAATAAATAAATAAAAAAATATAGTTTCCACTATTTTAAGTCAAAGAATATTTTTTTCAGAATCCTGTCTGATAATCATTAAGTTTTTTTTTTTTTTTTGAAATTTATATTTCTGTAACTGCTACTTGATTTTTGAAATAGTTTTTAATTACAAAGTGTATCTATTGGCAGGCAGCATTCATGGCAAATTCAAAATTTGGCATGAAAAATATTCACACAAAGAAAATGGTTTAAAACTTGCTTTGATGTAATCTGTCTATATTTCTGAGATGAGATATTATGTACACTATTTACATTGTTCGGACTATCATCCTCATCTTTGTTGCCATATTTATCACAAAGTTTCGGCCTTTGTATGCTCAGGCCTTCTTCATATGGAAATCACCACCCTCTGTGGGATCAGGTTGAAATCATATACAAAGAACATCATTGGAAAATTCATAAACTTAAGGAATCAGTACATATGCTAGGCCACAAAAATCTCCTGTGCCGACCAAGCATAGAAATACAATATGGGAACCAGTACTAAGGAGTGCCAGAGAAAAGCAATAATAACAACGAAAATTGCAATATGAGTTCTGGTTAAAAAAAAAAAAAAAAATATGCAATGATAACAGCAAGAATTGCAATATGAGCACTGGTAAAAATGGTTGCTGAAGACATTAGGTTTATAATACCCAGAAATTCGTACACAGATGTCCTCAAGGACACATGGGTACAGTGGATAAAGATTCAGTGACAGGACCCAAAGAGTGTAAGTTCAATACCTGGTTAAGGCGGTGGAGAACTTGGAGAGGGGAATTAGGAGGAGATAACTGATAACTAACATCCATTAGACATGGCACATGGAATTAGAAAAGTCTACCCCAGCGAGCGAAATAAAGGGTTCAGTTCGACATTCCAACCTTAAGAAGGCTGGAGCGTACAATATGGCAAAAAAGATGAGGATGATAGTCCGAACAATGTAAATAGTATTTTGTTGCAATTAGAATGAAAACTTTAAAGTGGACACTTAAATTATTGTCATTGTTATTAAAAAGTTTGATTATTGCAACTATTTGTACTGCTCTTGATACCCCCCCCCCCCAAGTTGAGAGGAACAACATCTATCAGTTACAATTGTAGTACATGATTATTTTATTTAATTTTTTTTTTTTTTTTTTTTTTTAAATCATTTCACCCCAAGCAAGACAATAAAATCACTAAGACAAAGGAAGTTGCTAGGTGTGAAAAATTATAGGAAAAAGAAAAACATTATTAAGGAGTGAGAACAATAAAAGAACAAGAATGAAAGTTGGCTGGAAAGCAAGAAGCCAAAAGAGAGTTCCACAAGTGAGAAGTGCGAGAGAAGAAACTGTTAGCATAGAACTTATCTAGACATTTTCATTGTAAAATGATGTGATCATGCTACCAATCTGGTACTGTGCTTAAAATTTATAAAGTATCTGTACCATATAGGAAAGTTCATGATAACAGTTATGAAAGTATTTATAGAAAAGGCACAGGGAAGCTACATTACAGCAGTGGAGAAAATGACTGAAGCCGAGATGTCAGGTTGGGACCAATAACATTGCAGATTCTTATTTGGATTTTTATTACAAAACAATTTAGTATTTTGACTAATACTCAGGTGGCTCAAATTTGGCACAAGGATTATTACTCAAGTTACTTCAATTGTTTTATGCTTGGACCTAATAAATAGAAAAAAAACATTTCAGTTTTACTAGATGAGTAGAATTGGTAGAATTCTGGACTTACAGTAAAAAATAATTTACTTAGCAGCACTTTTTGTTTGATTTTATGTTTTTTTCATTTTTTTATTTATGTTTTAATTTATTTTTTTGAAATTTCTTTTATTCTTTTTAGTTTTTTTATTCTTTTTTGTTTTTTTATTCTTTTTTGTTTTTTTTATTCTTTTTTGTTTTTTTATTCTTTTTTATTTTTTTATTCTTTTTAATTTTTTTTATTCTTTTTTGTTCTTAATTTTTTTAGTTTCTTTTTTTATTCTTTTAGTTTCTTTTATTCTTTTTAGTTTTTTTATATATTTTTTTTTATTTCTTTTTATATTTCTTTTTTTCTTTTTATATATTCTTTTTTAGTTTCTTTTTATTTATTCTTTTTTTTTTTCATTTATTCTTTTAGTTTTCTTTTTTTTATTCTTTTTTTTTCTTTTCATTTATTCTTTTTAGTTTTTTTCATTTATTCTTTTTTTTTCTTTTTTTATTTTTTTTTATTCTTTTTAGTTTCTTTTTATTTATTCTTTTTTTTCTTTTTTTTTATTCTTTTTAGTTTCTTTTTTATTTTTTCTTTTATTCTTTTTTAGTTTCTTTTTTATTTATTCTTTTTTAGTTTTTTTTATTTATTCTTTTTAGTTTCTTTTTTATTTCTTTTTTATTTATTCTTTTTAGTTTCTTTTTTAGTTTTCTTTTTTTTTTTTCATTTATTTCTTTTATTTATTCTTTTTATTTTTTATTTTTTTTTTATTTATTCTTTTTATTTCTTTTTTATTCTTTTAGTTTCTTTTCATTTATTCTTTTTAGTTTCTTTTTATTTATTCTTTTTAGTTTCTTTTTATTTATTCTTTTTAGTTTCTTTTTATTTATTCTTTTTAGTTTCTTTTTATTTATTCTTTTTAGTTTCTTTTTATTTATTCTTTTAGTTTCTTTTTTATTTATTCTTTTATTTATTCTTTTTAGTTTCTTTTATTTATTCTTTTATTTCTTTTCATTTATTCTTTTTAGTTTTTTTATTTATATTCTTTTTAGTTTCTTTTTTTTATTCTTTTTTGTTTCTTTTTTATATTCTTTTTTATTTTTTTTTTCTTTTATTCTTTTTTTATTTATTCTTTTCATTTATTCTTATTTTTTTAGTTTCTTTTTATTTATTCTTTTTAGTTTTTTTCATTTATTCTTTTTTTTTTTTTCTTTTTATTTATTCTTTAGTTTCTTTTCATTTATTCTTTTTAGTTTCTTTTTTATATATTTATTTTTTTTTTTTTTTTTTTATTTATTCTTTTTAGTTTCTTTTTATTTTCTTTTTTTATTTATTCTTTTTTAGTTTCTTTATTTATTCTTTTTAGTTTCTTTTTTTTATTTTTTTTAGTTTTTTTTTATTATTCTTTTTAGTTTCTTTTTATATTCTTTTTATTTCTTTTTTTTATTCTTTTTTTTTTTCTTTTTTAGTTTTCTTTTTTATATTCTTTTCTTTTCTTTTTTTTTATTCTTTTTAGTTTCTTTTCATTTATTCTTTTTAGTTTCTTTTTTTTATTCTTTTTAGTTTCTTTTATATATTCTTTTTAGTTTCTTTTATTTATTCTTTTTTTATTCTTTTTAGTTTCTTTTTATATATTCTTTTTAGTTTCTTTTTATTTATTCTTTTTATTTATTCTTTTTAGTTTCTTTTTATTTATTCTTTTTAGTTTTTTTTTATTCTTTTTAGTTTCTTTTTATTTATACCTTTTCTTTCCTTTCTTTTTATTTATTTATTTAACTTTGTTTTAACTGCACTGTTGTTAGTAATGGAGTTGGTTAACATTTCGTCAGCTTTGAGTATATTTGCTTACAAACAAGTTCCTTTTAACTCCTTCCCTTCCCTTTCACTCAGGTGTGTCAGGTGGTGTAATTGATAGCAGTTCAAAATGAGAAATTGAAGAGCCAAGTTGAAATTCATTTGAATTCATTATATTCACTTATGCATAAATACCTTTCAAAATGGCATGAATCCATTTGCTCCCTCTAGCAATGGGTTAAATAGTAGAACTTTTAATGCAATATTCACTTGCAAAAATATAATTCTTCTTACAATCCAAAATAAAATATGTTTTGACTTTAAATAACCTACAAGGGGTTGATAAGCTGTAAAAGAAAAAAAAAAAAAAAAGATCAGTGACTCAATCTTATTTACCCTCTGCCTTTCCTCCTTCACACTTGTTTTTCCACAATTCCCTTGTTATGTGGAAATGAAAAGGTAGACAGCTGATAGCTATCCTCTACACACATATTTACGGGAGAAACTTTTCACAGTTACTACATCTTGATCCAAGGCAAAAATAACAATCCATATGTAAATCTTGTAATTTTTTTATGGTTACTATACGAGTATAAATTTTATGCAGATATATTTTTAGGTTATGTATGCAAAATCTGAAAGCTGTATCTGGTCTAAACTATCAGTTTTGAACAAAAACTTCTGGAATGAGGGGTTATCATCATTTACATGATTTATATTCAGTCTATTGTCCTAATCTTTGTTGTTGTTATTTTGGCCGTTGAGGAAGGCCAGAGAGAACAACGGTGAAAGGTGATAACAACAAAGACAATAGTGTAAATAAAAATGTAGCGCGATATGTTTTGTGCATTGGAAAGCCAAAAAAAAAAAAGTCATTTTGATGTTGAACTGTTTTATTACAGTCAGCATTCTTCTTTTTTGTGATGTGTCTCTTCTGAACATGGCCAATCATGGCTCTCCACAACTTCCGGTCCTTTGTAGACCTTAGTAAATTTTGTCTTTGCAAAATCTAATCCCTATTCTGCCAGCCATTTAGACAAGCTCATTAGGTAGGTTATGTGTTGCCTTCAAATATGTCTTGTGAGTGTCAAATTTTCCAAACCCTCATTCCTAATTAAGTGTTCTAGAAATTTCAACTGTCTCTCTCTATGTATAAGTGTTGTTGTTTTTTCCCACCATTTTCTCTAAAATTTAGTCATTACTGATGTATTCAGTCCATGATATTCTCAGCATCCTTCTGTAGAATCACATTTCTGTTGCTTCAAGTGTTTTCATCTATGAGGAGATTCTCCAGCATTCACTGCCATACAGGAGGACTGATATTACATAACAGTTCAGTACTCTTTTTTTTCTTTTTTTTTTTGTTTCTCTTGCTTCAAGTCTCTTCTTCATCTGTGAGGAGATTGTCCAGCTTTCACTGCCATATAAGGAGGACTGATATTACATAACAGTTCAGTATTCATTTCAGGCTTCTTGGGACATAATTTTATGACATGTTACTTTAAGCACCTGTTCAAGTTTAGACATTTTTTTAAAACTGACTAAGTTCAGCACAGATTAGAACTGTCCTTTGAATTCTTATCTTCTTGAGAATGAAGAAAACACAATCATTAAATCTGAAACACTTTTGTACTGCATGAAACGCTTCCGTAAGTATGTCATGGGCAAATACTGATTGCAGATCCAAGAAATGACAAATATCAAATAAATAAATTTCTGATGAGTTTTCAATATGTTCAGTTAGTCCACTGTTGTTTTCTAAATTGTTCCCCCCCCTAGACGCTTGAATCTATTTCATGATTTTCCTCTTTGCAGATCATTGATCCGATTGTTCCGCGATACACTGCTTTGACTACAGATGTAATAATCCCATTGACAGTAAAAGATGCCCAGCTCTCGTCACGAGAAGTCCCGAAACATCCAAAGGTAAGAAAAACATCATCTCCATCCCTTTTAAATTTCATGTGTTTCAAAAAAAAAAAAAAAAAAACAATAATTCTGGCTATGACAATTAACTACATCTAGCAGCAAGGCCTCCAATCAGGAGGTTTTAAGGAGTTTTTTTTTTTTTTTTTTTTTTTTTTAAGCATTTCACCCCAAGCAAGGCGGGAAGCCACTAGGACGCAAGGGGTTACAGAAAATAGGAAGATCAGATAGGAGTGATAGAAGATAGGATGAGGGTAGTAGATAGATTAGGGCAACTGGAGATGTCGATTGACATTACACTTGAATAGCTGGAGATTATAACTCACAGGAAAACAGGAGAAGGGAAGAGAGTTCCACAGGCGAGATGTGCAAGACATGAAGCTATTAGAGTAGAAGAGACGGCTACATTTAGGAGTTTCGACAGTGAAGGGGTGAGAGCGGGATGCCAGCCTTGTAGGGCGCTTGAACTCATGAAGTCTGGGAACCAGCGAATGCAGCTCCTCGGAGCAATTTCCATGAAAGTATTTGTAGAACAGACAGAGGGAGGCGATGGCGCGTCTGTGAGAAAGTGACTGTAAAACGAGATGCCAGGGCAGGGCCAACCATATTGCATATCCGCTTCTGGAGCCTATCAAGAACCCCGAGGCAAACAGAAGGGGCGCCAGATGGCCTGAAGTTTGAATTCAAGCATTAAACAGACTGTTATTGCTTGGTGTTGACCTCTCTCCATACGCACACACACACGTTGGCAGTTGGCTCCTTTAAGAAGTTTATCCGCCCTTTGATGTCTCTTGATTTTCATCCTGTGCAGTTGACACGCCACCCTCCTCACTAGCAGAAAAGATTGTTGGGTTACTGGTTTAGATACCAGCCACCCATCCATGTGGCAGGTTGTGCTATGTTACATGTTACCAGTAACATGCCTACTCCTGATCCAACATAAAGACACAGTGTCTAAAGAAATTTTCATTGGTTTTCACTACCTCAAAAACCAACCTAGTATCATTACCAATCAGATCTTGGGAATTTATCCAGTCACAATGAACAATTCCACTCTCAATGAGGCTCCCCCACTTTAAATGTCTGTTGGGTCTCAGTTCCACTCCAGATTTCAAGTGGAATTCATATTTGATCCATTGCTAAAGATGCTGAGAATAATGGTCAGCTTATTTTGTCGCTCAAAGTAGTACCTAACTTTTTCGGCCATACTTGATCTCTACAAGAGTCAGATTAGCCCCCAAAATGGAATATTGCTGCTATATCTTGGCTGGAGATGTTGAAATCCTCACTTTTCAGCCTTGGTAGGGCTTAAAATCCTTTATGGGTTTTGTGGAGGAAGTTAGACACCCATTCAAGTTGATTTTTTTTTTTTTTTTCTTTTGTAATACTCTGGCTTAGTGTATCAACTGAAACCTCATTACAGTCTTAACCTCTTCATATCAAGGGTTAATTGTTACTTATCCCACATATCCACCTAATCCTCACTTCCTAATTCCTCCTCTTACATTCATATCACATGTGTCATTCAGTAACCCTCTACCTTGAGTGGCCTTGTATTTGATGAACACCAGTAAAAAATAAAAAGAAAAATTAGAGCTTTATTTTTGCCAGTAATCTTGTACATTGTTTCATTATCCTCAATCAGATCTTGTGTTTTCTGCAGTCATTATGAACAGTTGATGAGGCTCCATGCTTTGAACATCCATTCGGGTCTCAAGTTCACTCCAGACTTCAAATGGAATTCATATTTGATCCATTGCTAAAGATGCTGAGAATAATGGTCAGCTTATTTTGTTTCTCAAAGTAGTACCTAACTCTTTCTGCTACACTTGATCTCTACAAGAGTCAGATTAGCCCCCCAAATAGAATATTGCTAATACAATAATCTTGTACATTGTTTCATTATCCTCAATCAAGTCTTGTGTTTTCTCCAGTCTTGATGAGGCTCCATGCTTTGAATGTCCATTCGGGTCTCAAGTTCACACCACACCTCAAATGGAATACATATGTACAATTCATATCTAAAGATACTGGGTAAATGTTTGACTCATTCTGTTATTGCACCAGGAAGTATCTGACTCCTTCTGTCATGTAGAATCAGATAAGACTGAAAATGAAGTATTACAAACATACCTGGCTGGAGCTATTCAATCTTCAATTTCCAAGCTTGAAAGTTCAAAATCATTTACTCGGTTGGAAGGGCTTCTTTTTCTCCCTCTGTCTCTTTATCTATCTATCTATCTATATATATATATATATATATATATATATATATATATATATATATATATATATATATATGTATGCATGTATGTAATTGTATATATGTGTCCGGTTTTATGTATATATGTGTCTGTATGTATGTATGTGTGTGTGTGTATGTGTGTGTGTGTGTGTATGTATATATATATATATATATATATATATATATATATAGTTATGTGTGTACACGCCTATGGATATATATGTGTGTGTAAATATAGATATGTTGTGTATATGTATGTGTTTTTGAACATGCAAATAATAGGTCCTTGCTAGTTTAAATAATCTCTATATTTATATGTTTATATTAGATTTGTAACCTGTAGTCGATATTATTTTGTCAAATTTTCTTGATTGCACAGCGGCCCTTTTATAAATGCCCTTCGGTTTTAGCTGACACCCCCTCTTCCTCAACCTCCCCCCATTTTTTTCCTCCCTCTCTCATCTTCCGATCTTTAAGTGTAGATTATATCGTCCGTTGTGTGTGTGTGTGTGTGTGTGTGTCACCACAAAATGTATACTCTTTTCCGGTATCTACCTTTAATTTATTTTAGGTCAGTGATTCAGAAATGTATTAGACATCAGAGAATATTCATATTTATTTGTATCTGACTCCCCTCTTTAAAACTTCTCTCTGTTAAATTTTAATCCCCACCTTCACCTTTAGATCTTCCTGTTCTTCTCTCATCTGTTACCCCTCCCTATAGCTTTCATTTACTCTCACATTCATCCCACACTCTCATACATACACTCTCACTAAATTTTATTTTTTATTCTCAAGAGTTAGTTTTTCTGATTTCTTTTTGAATTTGTAGGTCTGATGAATTGGATCATATTTACGATTCCAATGTAATAAATTATGATCATGGAATTCTAATGTTTAAGCCTTTTTATTATATTCTTACTCTGTCCTGGACATTGAGTTCTACCTGGATTCTATCCTCTTGGGATTTTTCTACATATATATGTATGTGTATATATATATATATTTGTGTGTTTTAGATATATGTACATATATGTGTGTGTATGTATGTATGTATGTATGTATGTGTGTGTATATATATATATATATATATATATATATATTTTGTGTGTTTTAGATATATGTACATATATGTGTGTGTGTGTATGTATATATATATATATATATATATATATATATATATATATATATATATATATATATATATATATTGTGTTTTTAGATATATGTACATATGTGTGTGTGTATATATATATATATATATATATATATAAGGCTCAAACACTAAAATTCCATGGTTATAGTTTATTACATTGGAATCATAATCACGATCCAAATCATCAGACCTACAAATTCAAAAAGAAATCGGAAAATATAACTCCGGGGTGTGTGTGTGTGTGTATATATATATATATATATACACACACACACCACATAATGTGCAATGAGTAGATTATAATCATTTTATATTTTTAATTTCACCCATGTGTGTTGTTTGTTTTTGATTTTGTTGACTTCACAATATAGTAGAGTCAGTTGGGCACCATCTTTGAGAAAAAGAGCACCATGACGCAATTCACTCCTCTAGAAATGTGGAAACAATCTGCTGTACTGCTTGGCATTCACACCAGAAGCTCCAATACAAACATTTCAGAGTGTTTGGGTGTCAATATGAGGACAGTGCAGAGGATTCAGAAAGAGTTGGATGGTGATTACAAAGGTATGGCAGCTCAGAAAATCCACTCTGTTCATTCTAATAAGAAAAGAACTCCCAAATTTATTGGTGAGGGCCTCAGACTCAACACGGAGGCCTACATCAAGTTCCTTGAGGAGTTAGTGCTGCCCTGGGGCAAGAGAGACCCTATTTCTGGCAACAGGCCTCTGTACCATGCCATAGAAGCAAGAAAACCCAGTTATGGCTGTCAGGCAATTTCTGCAACCACATCACCGCTTTACATCTTGCCACTTAACTCCCCAGACTGCACCCTCCTCTTGATTATGTGTAGGTCACAGTTGAGTGAGAGACCAACAAAACTCCTTGTAACACCAAAGATGAACTGAAGGCAAAGATTATAGCAGCATTCACCAACTTAGACAAGGATAGTATCCAGAAGAGATGCAGAAGACTCCAAAGGCTGAGGTTGAAGCCAATGGAGATTTTGAATAAATTTAGTCTTTAGTACTTTAAGATATTTTTGTGTAATTTTTGCAAATATATCTATTAAAATGAGATGTCAGTGTTTTCATTTTTTGTGCAATTTAGACAACAATTTATCCATCGCACCGTCTGTGTGTTTGTGTACACACAAGTGTGCGATGAATAAATATATTTTACATATATTTATATGAGATATGATATATAAATTTTTATATATGAAAACAATATTAATTAATTTAATGACAAAGGAGTGAAAAGATTTTGTGTAACACGTTTTGTCCTTCAGGAATTCAGTGGACTAAATTAATGCTTTTGCTGATGTAATTATATATGCATATGAAGGGGAGGGGGAATACAAAAATGAACAAACATTTGCATTTTTATATTCCCTCTCCCCTTCATATGAATATACCATTACATCAAAAATATTACTTTAGTCCAATGAAGTCCTAAAGAACAAAAAACGCATTAACAAAAAAAATTTCCACATTATTAAATCACATATGTTCATATATAAAAAAATATATTGATGTTTTATTTTTATTATTGTATTTTCTTTCTTATCTTTTTTTTTTTTTTTTTTTTTAAGCTCTACTGAGCAAATCATTCTGCTTATCATTTGTATACAGATTATTTGCCTCGATTAAATTGTTTATTTGGAGGGTTTATTGAAAGCATTTGGAATATGCAATAAAGTATAGCAACTATCAGCACTGAAAATGGGATTGTCATGTCAAATTCAAATTCCAGATAAGAGCATTGTGTTGGCTTTCGTAGAAAAAATACCTTTGGAAATATATGACACCATATCCTCCACTTCTCCTCACACACCCCTTTCTGCTATGGATTAATAATAGAGTGGGTGGGACTCTCTCACTTTAGTGGCCAATCACTCTCATGGAGAGAAAACTCTGAATTCAAAATCAGTTAAGTGTAGAGCTAGCTAACTTGTTAAAAAAAAAAAAAAAATACTTGTTCTGGAATCCACAGTAGCAACACCAATTGTAGTGAAGCTGTGGCCTTAAACTTCATTGGCTGGTAGTCCACTGAGTTGACATACACATGTTAGAAATTTTTGGCAGTAAAATTACCTACAATCTGTTGTTTACTGGGGCAAGAAATAGCTTGTTAATTTTAATATCTCCAAAACCAAACTGTTCTCTTTTAATTGACTGAGAGAAACTTTTTTGCCTTCCATGGCTGATGCTAACCTCCAGGAAAGTGACTCATTGCACCTTCTCAGGCTTACATTTTCTGCTGACATGAACTAGGAAGATGATATTAAATCAATTGCTAGGTCTGTTGGTTCTCTATGTCGTGCCAGACAGTCGTTCTTCTCAGAATCTATCTTCCACATTTATATGTCTACCAGTCATTTCTTATTAATATTTCTGCCACATCTGGTCTAGTTCTTCTGCTATGTATTTAGAGATTCTTGATAAAATACAAAGAATCTGCAATTTTATTGGTCCTGACCTGGCACCTTGGCTTCAGTCACTTTACCACTCCATAATGTAGTGTTCTTGTGCCTTTTTTATATTTTCATGGTAATTGTTTTGAAGAGCTTTCCTCTTGGCTTAATGAATTTAAACACAGTACTAGATTGGCAGCTAGGTCTCATCATTTTACAGTTGAAATGGCTAGATGTAACTAAGTTTTATGCTAAGAGTTGCTTCTCTCACACTTCTCACTTCCAGCTTCTTCCTTTTTAAGATGTAGGCAATCATGGTCTCCACAAATTCCTTTTCTTTATTATCTGTGAATTACTATGACTTCTTGGGGAAAGATAGTGAAGTGGCTTCCTGCTGTCTTTTCCACAGTAAAGAATTCAGAGTAGTCCCCCATTCAGGACGTAGGCAATCATGTCCCTCCACAGATTCATTTTCTTTTTTATCTTTGAGTTACTATGACTTCTTGGGTAAGATCATGGAATTGTTTCATGTTGCCTTCTTCAGTTTTCCTTCTTTTAGACTGGTTGCAACCCAAGGCTAGATAGCCAAGTCTACCCTACTATTTAACCTATAACTGGGGGGGTGGGGGTTTAGAAGACGTAGATTCATGCTTTTCACAAGGTTATTAGTACAATAGTGAACACAACAGACAAGCCCAAGATTTGAACCCAGCCTAGCAAGTTCCCTTTCTGCACCAGTAACCGTTACATTACCTATACATCCCAAAGAATATTACAGGATTAAGAAAGTAAATAATTAATAAACTCTGAAATAATATTTTTAAATTATTTTAGTATTTGTGTTTAATACTACAAGGTATTGTTTTTTCTTTGTCAATTTTCATTTTTTTTATCTGCCCATCCCCCACAAAAATGTGAAAGATTGTTCATCTTGAATCATTGCAATGAAAGAATAATCTAAAATTTTATTCACTTAAATATTCTGTCAATCTCTGGCATGCAAGCCCCAAGGCCCTGAATCCAATACATGGACCTTATATTTTATCTGCAATGTGTGAAAGACTGCCCTGGGACAGTAGGTTATATAACTGTATGTATTACAAATCCTTTCCCATGCTGACAAACCAGATGCAGATGTAAGGTCTATTCAGTGGCTAGAAGTGATCCCAAGTCAACTCCTTGATACACCTGGCTTCTTTGGTTTGGTGTGAAATTTGAGTGAATTGCCTATTCCAGCATCATACTATACATGAAAATAAACTTGAGCTTATGTTTAACCTCTTACAGATCAATTTTATGAATTCTCTCTCTTGCACACTTAACAGACCAATTCTTTTACCATCAATATTTTGTGGATTTTTTAATTCTTGGCTTAACACCATTCCTCTGCCCAGATTAAAATAAGATAGTTTTAACCCTGCTTATTACCACTAACCATATGAGATTGGTGCTGCTTGACATAAGATGTTCATGATAGACTTGTTCCTGCTCTAAAATATTATGGGATACTCAAATATTTTTGGTTCATTTGAAAATTGAGGTATTTTATAAATGAGTTAGTTTGTGATGTGCTGAAAAGAATAAAATATAGAAAACACCTATACACAAGAGAATATGTTGAGAGATTGATAAAGAGGCTTCTTTCATGTTTGTTTTGTTAATAGAAATTTTTATCTTTTTTTTTTTTCCAGAATGATGAAGTTGGTATGAAAACAGTTTGGTATGGCCCCAAAATCCTTATTGAAAAAGGAGATGCTGAGGTTTTTAAAGTGGGAGAAATAGTGACCTTTATTAATTGGGGCAATCTTAAAATTGAATCCATTGAAAAGTAAGTATGCAAAATTAAACTTACTTTCTTTCCTTTTTCTTCTTTCTTTCCTTTTTCTTCTTTCTTTTTCCTTTTTTTTTTCTTTTCTTTTTCCTTTTTTTTTTCTTCTTTCTTTCCTTTTTTTCTTCTTTCTTTCTTTCTTTTTTCTTCTTTCTTTCCTTTTTCTTCTTTTTTCTTTTCCTTTTTCTTCTTTCTTTTTTCCTTTTTCTTCTTTCTTTCCTTTTTTCTCTTTTCCTTTTCTTCTTTCCTTTTTTTTTTCTTTCTTTCCTTTTTTTTCTTCTTTTCTTTCCTTTTTTTTTCTTCTTTCTTTCCTTTTTTTTCTTTCTTTCCTTTTTTTTCTTTTCTTTCCCTTTTCTTTCTTTTCTTTCCTTTTCTTTCTTTCCTTTTCTTTCTTTCCTTTTCTTTCTTTCCTTTTCTTTCTTCTTTCCTTTTCTTTCTTCTTTTCCTTTTCTTTTCTTCTTCCTTTTCTTTCTTCTTTTTTTCTTTTTTTTTTCTTTTCTTTCTTTCCTTTTTTTCTTCTTCTTTCTTTCCTTCCTTTTCCTTTTCTTTCTTTTCTTTTTTGTTCTTTTTCTTTTCTTTCTTTTCTTTTCATAACTGACTGTCAGTTATATGCCATGCATAATACACACTTAGGCTATCATGTATCTTTGATGCATGACTGACTAGACAGCTTTTTTCCCAAAGTAGGTTGCCATTTCAGTCTGTAGTAGACCAGTTGCCATTTAAGGATATAGAACCCAGTCTGTCCAGCTATTTACCCTTAGCTTGGGGAGTGGGGAGAAAAAGAGGATTCATACCTTTCCCAAGGATATTAGCACATCAGTGAATGTAATGGATTTGAATGGAATTCAAAGTCGGCACTCCGATTCCTCAATCCAAGCCATTATCCATTACTCTACCGTTTCCATACAGTCACCAAAGTTAAGCAACATTGAGCCTAGTCAGTACCTAGATGGGTGATCACTTAAGAATACCAGCTGCTGTTAGCTTGGATGTGTGAGGCTTGGAATTGTCAATCAGAGAGCCAAGTTCCAATCCCAGTTGGTTTTGTTATATTCACTTCTGAGCAAATACCCTTGAGAAAAGTATGAATCCACCTCTTCTACCCCCAGCTATAGGTTAATTAGTGCAACTTGTATTATTAAATCATTATCTCAAAAAAAGAAGAATTCTTACTATCTAAAAATATTTTCTAGTTTACAAAGGGTTGATAAGCTATAAAAAAAAAAAAAAAAAAATCAATCCATAGATTACACTCTGATCCTAGGTATAAAAGCATAATGGTCATACATACAAATAAGCAGAAGAATAGTATAGAGCAGAAGGGCCAGTAATCAGGCAGATACTACACTCTGATCCTTGGTGGGAATGCATTATGTCTGTACTGTAAAAATAGATAATATTAAGTGCATCAAATTATTTGATCTTTTTGAAAACCTTGATCTTGTCTTTCTTATTTTTCTTTTTTTTAGAAATGCCTCTGGTGCCATAACCAACATTGTGGCGTCATTGAATCTTGAAAATACTGTAAGTGGAGCAAATACAATTATATTACAAGACATTTTTTTTTTCTTTTTTAACTTGATTTAATGAGTAATCCATGTTCTTCTGGGACAGATTTATACTGGTAACTTCTCTTTGCACCAAAATTTACATGCACATGCTCCAAGTTAGCGGGAAGGCCAAGACCAACTTTGCATATCCCAACTCCATCGATAGTGGAAATAATTTTTTTCTGCTGCTTCTATGGCAGTTTTCATGTAGTTTGGCGATTTTCTATTTAGATGAGACATGGAAGTTTCTATTGGCCAGGTGAGCCAACAGCTGACTGGCCAAGAATAGATCTAGCATGCTAGCATGCAAAAACATCGATTGCATTAATCTTTTTTGGAAAATTTAAATCTGCATGGCACTTTACTCCAATTGGCTCCATTCTGATTCCAGAACTGGGTTGGGTGTGAAAAAGTATTTGTTGTTAACATTCTTTTTTCATCCGGTTTTTCCTAACGAAGTCCTTTTTTAAAGCTGATCGCTTTGTGTTCATTTTGTTTAGTTCTTTTTCAGAATAGATTTAATGTTTAGCATAGAGCTTAGAAAAAATTTGCAGTGTGAGATAGGCAAGAAGTGGGCATGTAGCAACATCAGCACGGAAAAAGGCACTCTTTTTAAAAGGCAAAGGAAGGGCAAAAAATATTTTAAGTCAATTGATAGCAATTGCTGTATGAGTCGTATGATTTTTAATCAAGGGCAACAATGCTTGGTAGATAGTCTAGACAATTTTGTTTCTTTTTGTTTATATTTTTTATTACTTTTGTTATTAAGTATCCTACATCATGATAATTCAGCATCCCCTCTCCTTCATGCATATATGTAGTCATATCAGTGTTAAACATCTCTTTAGTCTGATGAAGTCCTAAAGGACAAAACATGTCACAGAAAATAAATTTTCCACTTTGTCATTGATTTTTTTGGTATATAAAAATTTATGTATTTTTTCCCCCATATATATATATATATATATATATATATATATATATATATAATTACAACTTAGGAAAGAAAAATAAGTAAAATAAATTTTTGTTATTATCACAACAATTCATCCATTGTGTCTTCCAACCTCCAAGTGTATGTTGATCAAGATAATTTTTCTACTGAGTCTGTCTACAGGTTTAAGGCTCCAGGTTCTAAACTCAAGGACAATAGCCTAGTGGTTTTAAAGCATTGGTTTGTAAATTTGGTGTCATAGTAATTGTGTGTTCAATCCCTGGGTCGGGTAGTGAAGATTTTAACTCAGTGGAAACAGGATGAGCAATATGAAATAAGAACAACAGAGGATATTTCTTGATATATTAATGCTTGAGTACTAGACAGCAGAATGAGAACAGTCTATCTCTGTAGATTAAATAAAGGGTTCAATTTGAAATTCCCTGAAGGTTACCCTAATCGACAAGCCCATGAAGAAGAGGAGGTCACAATGATTGAAGTGTGATAACAAAGATAAGGTCAATAGTCTGAGTATAAATTCCTCATCTAAAAAAAAAACAAAAAAAACAAACTTTTTACCTGCCCTTAAAAATGTTTGAAGAATTATTTTGCTTTTATGATACACCTCCCGACACCTTACAACTATTTATTCTATATCAGCCAATGAAAGTGTCAGAAAACTATGACTGTCTTCAGTTCAAGATTTCTTGAAGGTTGTCTAAATAGACAGACACCTGAAGAAAGCTATCAGGGACAATGGTCGAAACATTGTGATCTTAACAACAAAGATGAGGACACTAGTCCAAGTGTAAATCATGTAAATAATTGACCTCAGCCCAGAAATTCAGACAGGTTATAATAACTATAAAGATGGGGACTTTAGACCAAGTGTAAATCATGTAAATTTGTATTGTTTTGTTGATTTTTAAAAAATTTTTTATATATATATATTCAGGATTACAAAAAGACCCAAAAGGTAACATGGCTGACAGATACTTCTGAATGTCCACTTGTGCCTGTTACTGCATTTACTTTTGATCACATCATCAGCAAAGCAGTTCTTGGTAAAGAAGAAGACTTTAAACAATATGTCAACAAGGAATCCAAGGTAAATCTCTTAGTCTTTCAATCATTTTTACTCTTTTACTATAGCAGCAAGTTCCTACCCAATCTACAGTTTTCAAGTAAGTTTTCTACTTTGGTAACAGTCACTTCACTGAGGGTAAGATGATCAAATTTAAATTGGTTGCCTATTTAAAATGCTATATTTATTAGAAAATATATTCAGTTTAAATAAAGGACACATAAAAATCTTTGTTTTATTAAATACTGGTTGAATAATTGTTGCCTTGCTGATGGCTGAATGATCTTTCAGATCTAAATCGTTTGTCTGCTTAAAATATTACATTTATTAGAAAACTAGCCTAGAAGCCACCCTTTGGGTGGACTTTACACTACCTCCCGCGGAGGGCTTTTGGACCTTCAGCCTTTTACCCTCAGCATCTTATGTACATAAAAGTTAAGAATTTAGAAATAATAAAATGATTTTATCTTTATTTAACATTTTAATTTGGCATAATCTTTCTTCATATACGCATTAATCTCCAGAGTTTGTTTATATTTATTTTGTGTGCAATTTTTATTTTCTTTTAAAATCACTATTTATGATCGCTTCACATAAAGTCACTCTTAAAAGACATTAGAAAACCCAAACTATGTAATATTTCAAAAACGTCATAGTATGCATGTTAGTAAAAGAAAAAAAATGGAAAAAAAAACGTGAGCAATATACCATGCCTGCTTAAGTTTTAATTACAGTTTAATTAGACAATATCACTTGAAATTGTGACAGAAAGCAAAATTAAAGTTAAACCTTTAATAAAGAATTGCTTTTTAAACCATTCACTCTGTTCAATATTTTAGATTTAACTTTAAATGAGTCGTTAATTTAATTTTTGATCATATGTTACTACAGTAGTTACTAGCTGTTACTTCAGGTTTATGATTCAATGAGATTGAAAAACACATAGACTGACAGACACATGAACACTGCACTATATTATTATAGATTTATTCAGTTTAAAATCTGATTGTATTAAATACTAGTTCAGTACTTGATATCATAAATTGCAGAAACAACTGTTATTTAAATAATTTGCAAAGCCTTTTTATATTTATATAATTTGCCAAACATTACTATATAATAGAATCATTTCCAATGAATTTCTATCTATGCTTTTAGTATTTGCTATGTCACTATATATGTAATCATTAGAGGAAATGAAAGTTTGGCTGGATGTTTTGCTGAAAGTATTTTGCTATATTATTTTCATAAATTCTACGCATTAGATGAGATGCAGAAATGGTTAGTTATTTGATAAGCACAATACTGCTTTCCTTTGTTTATCTTCTTATGAAACTTTTCTTTTTCTGAAAATTTTCTTTCTAGAGTAAAGAGAAAATGTTGGGAGATCCTTCTTTGGCCAACCTCCGCAAAGGAGACATCATTCAGTTGCAGCGGAAAGGATTTTTTATCTGTGACCAGCCATACGAACCTGTCAGGTAGGTAGACAAGATTGTAATTCATGTAAATTACTTTGATACTTTATAGGAGACACTGGATCCGAAATAAGTAAGTAATTTCATACTTTGAGACGTGCTTTAGTGGCTGAGATAGTTGTGCTAGTATTTAATGAACAAAATCTAGACACTGATAATCAGTGCAGGCATGCTGTCCCCATTAGGAAGATTGATGCAACATAATCTTTCTAATCTCATTTGATCTTGTACAAATCATAATTATCAACCACACAATCTTCCTATAATTGTATTTGCTGGTGTCTATGCATTTTTGTATTTGTAAAATCTGATTGATGTAAATATCATTTCAAATTCTTTCAGTATCTCTCTATATTTCTGAGATGAGGTATTATGTACACCAGTTACATTATTTGGACTATTGTCCTCATCTTTGTTGCCATATTTATCCGATCCTTCAGTATCTGTCTATATTTCTGAGATAAGGTATTATGTACAGCAGTTACATTATTTGGACTATTGTCCTCATCTTTGTTGCCGTATTTATTACAACATTACACTTCTTCAAGTGGTTGGAATGTCGAACTGAACCCTTTATTTCGTTCACTGGGGTAGACTGTTCTAGTTCAACATGCCATGTCTAATGGATGTCAGTTATCAGTTACCTCCTGTTTTTAAGTATATATGACGTTTTTGTTGGGGTTTTTTTTAAGTATATATAATGTTTTTATTTGTTTTTTTAAGTATGTGTGTATATATATATATATATATATATATATATATATATATATATATATATATTTTTAATATTGCAGCCGTTACACAGGTTTGGAATGTCCTTGTATTCTGTTTTACATTCCTGATGGTCATCAGAAAGAAATGCCCAAATGTGGCTCCAAATTCAAGCAGGAAGGCTCAAGCAAAGATATGAGTGCCAAAGAGGTTGGTGAAAATTTAATTGGATTGCATTTAATGATGATAAGTCCTGGGTATGACAATAAATTACGTCTAGCAAGCAAGGCCTCAGATCGAGAGATTGGAGGCTTTGAGGAGTGTGGAACCACCTCTTAATTGCTGTTGTTCCTTAGTCCACCCTCACCTGGAGTGGGAACATCTGTTAGGGTCCCAGCTATGGGCAAATAGTGACCCCCCCTCCTGCGCCAACAAAAACAAAACACTATGAAAGTATAAAAATACATTTTTATAGTAAAAATACCAATGCCGATTTATAATAAAATTACCAACAATACCAATTTATAATAAAATTACCAACGATAACTATTCATAGTAAAATTACCAATGATAACTATTTATAGTAAAAATATCAGTAATAACATTTTATCTGTAGTTGAACACATGCAATTGTGTTCAAAATATTTACATTTTGGCATTAAAAAAAAACTATAATGGTTGATATGCTACTAAACAAAATCAACCAAACAACCAACATGAACAAACTCTTTCATGAAATTAATCTATATAATATCCAACAATTTCTTAAAGAAATCAAACAGTATTCCAAAAAATAACTTAAAACTACAATATAAAACACATATATCACTGCCTCTCGTAATTATGTCTGCACAAACATGTGTATGCACAAAAGCTGAGTATCATCTACCATGTATTCAATTGTGAAAGCAGAATAACATATATAATATTTTTATTACTTCAAAGCTTCCAATTAAAATTAAATTTTGGCATTAAATGACCCATAAGGATGTTGATATGTCATTAAACAAAACAAAGAGTTAATGTTGTTGTTTGGTTGCCACATTGGAAGGCAGTTTTATTTCTTATTTTTGTTTTATCCTTTTTTTTGCTTTTCCAGAAAGCCCAGAGCAAGAAAGGAAAATCTGCTGAAAAATCTCCCCAGGAAGAAAATCTACCTGCAATGTTGTCCAAGGAAGCTTTAGATCTTTCTGCAAAGATCCAGCAACAGGGAGATATCGTTCGAAAGCTCAAGAGTGACAAAATGCCGAAGGTATGTTTCATTTCTATTTAAACACACAATACGACCCTCACCCAAGTTTCCCATCAACCAGCCAATGATTACCGCACATTGCATTTCGATCCTCAGTCTCGTTGGCTTACAGCCATATCATGTTAAAACACTGGTTCTCATACAATCACTGAAGTTAAGCAACATAAAGCCTGATCAGTATCTTGATGGGTAACTTCTTAGGAATACCTCATGCTGTAATCTTGGATATGCAGGTGGTTTACTAGATAAGAACACTGAATTGGAAATCAGATAGCCAAGTTCCAATTCCAGTTGGCTTTGTTATACTTGTAACACCTGCAACCCAAGGTTATATCTTTGGTCATGGTCACCAATTAATGTAACGCTTTTTGCTGCTGCCTACACCCAGTGGTTTAACTACATTTAGTGGTCTGGTCCTCAGGATCTTAAGACAACGTTTTAACCACAGAGCTAATTCTGTGCTGGTCAATGCTGACACTGGTCTAAGCTAGTTGTTGGTCACTTCGATCCACACTAACTCTACCCACGTTTTGTTCTTGATTTCAGAGCAGTGGAAGATTGAATGTCTTCCTAATCACAACACTGGTTCAAGCCATGGCAAGTGCTACATTAAGGAAGAAAAATATCTTCGATGAAAAATAAAGTGAAAGATCCATATGATTAATCTTCAATTGGTTAATATAGCTCTTGGTACGACAAAAATGAACCCTCCCCATATCAATCTCTATAGTGACACTGGACCTTGTCTAAACTTCTGGAGGAGCTGAGTTCAAAGTTTTTGAAATCAGGAAACCTGGTGGCAGCTGACATGGAATCCAGATGCAATCGAAGCAGATTCTCAGCCCAAATCTTTGAGTTCCCCAAATCATTATGCTTATATACACTTTGACTCAAATCTGGCATGGGGCTAAAGGCGTATGGTGATTTGGTGATTCCCAATTTTTCACATTAATCTCGGGTTTTCTTTGTTCCCTATTTCTGCTTTCATAATGAACTTACCAATTTTAGAGAATTATCCACCTACCTTGGGAGTAGTCACAGTAATTGCTCCTCCCTTAGCTCCAACCTCCTTCACTTCACATCCCACACCATCACTCCACACAGGTGGGGCTAAATTTTGCCTTTTCCTTCTTGGTATTCTAACTCTGCTCCTCTTTCATGGATGGCATAACTGTCTTTGTGACAAATTTAATTTTTAACATGTAGGTGAAAGGGCATAGTTTATTTCTTCATTAATTTCAATTCTCTGACTCCCTTCCACACTCTGCTATTGCCTTTGTTCAACAAGAACACAAACCAGACCACTGCTTCTCATTTTAATGTTCCAAGCAATAGATAAAGATTATTTCCCAATTTGTTTTCATCAACAAAAATATATTTATTTATCTAAATTCTCAACAAAGAGACATGATGTTTTCCATCCTTAAGCTGATTTCCCTCTTAGCGAAAACATAAACCAGATCAACTGCCTCTATCGATTTTCATAATCCTAATCCTCACAGCAGGTTCATTCTGTGTTTTCATTTTTCAATTCGTTTTCGCCAACAAAAATATAATTCCTGCCTGCCTCTCTTCTTACCAATGATATGTGTTTTTCTAATTTCCCAAGAAAGAGATAAAGCCATTTTCCCAAATTTGTTTTCATCTGCATGCCAGACTCTCGATAAATAAGAAAAAGTAGCACTTGATTTATCATTCCAATTTGTAGGGGGTGAGAAAATAAGATGGCCTTTTTTACTTCCACATTACCAGGGAAAATGTTTTCCATTTTCTCTCTCTCTCTCAGTTTATATTTAATTTTGGGCTTAACCTTTTTCTGCTTAGAATTGACATTTACCCACCCCACAGCCTCAGTTACAGTCAAATACTTTTGTGAAAGCTGCAAATCCACCTCTTCCCCCCCCCCAGCTATGTGTTAATTAGTAGGATTAATTATTATATCAAAATATTTCTTACAATCTAAAATTTTGGGGCTTTAAATAATCAGCAAAAGGTTGATAAGCCATAAAAAACAAATCTATCAATCATGTCAGTGTTCACCAGAAGCTGGGAAAGAGCTTGCTGCTGCTCACAAGTTAACAAGATGAAAGTCATTTCAAGAAATAATAATCAAACCCTGATTCTCACGTTATATGTAAATGTTTTATTAAGGGCTTCACATGTTCGTCTGGAAGGGTAGGTAGGTAATATATGGGACAACTTTGGCTATGTCAGCTCTTCCACCTACCAACACCTCGCCCTTCTGCATGTGGCTGGCAATATGAACGGATGGTGCAGGAACTATACAACAAATACAAGGACAGACCAGAACAAATCCAGATCCAAAGCATGACTGTTAATATAGTCCAGAATCCGGATATACCTATTTCCGGTTTTGTTGCTACTTGATCTCCAAAAACATCTCATTCACTTCTTTCCTTCCCATGTTCCCCTTCAGTCAAAGTGGTTGCCATTTAGAAGGCCAAACTTCAAAAAGAACCATCCATTGGTTCATCTATCAAACAAAAACACTTGCGGTCAAGATAAAACCATCTCTTCCCTTTCTACGTGGGTGTCCATAGTATCACATTATAACCATTTTCTTTTGTTCTTTTAAGTAGTCAAACATCAGAAAGAACCATTTGCTGGTGTATCAAACAGAAACACTTGAAATTAAGATAAAATGATCTCTTCCCTTTTTATGTGGGTGGCCATAGTATCACAGTACAAACACAGTGTGATATTAATCTTTGTTATGAGGAGAGTGTTGGAAATTAACATTTTCTGGGGTGATACAAGGAGCCAATCATTCTTCCAGTATCTTTTGCAATGACACCCAATATACACATTTCATTTGAGGTCCCAAGTGAGCATTAGCTCCAGTAGGCATTCGAGGCAAGGAGCCTATTTGAGGGTATCAGGACTGTTGCAGGTTTAGGGTTGGCTTGGTGGTGATGAGATGTTAGTTTTGGATGTATTGAATGATACAAGCCAATCCTTTCCCCCATTGAGCTGAAGGGAGATCAGATGACAGGCAATGGTCATCAACATATTTAGATGTGTAGTCATACACTGCACTATCAGTTCACAATTTACTGTGGAATAAAAAAAAAAATAATAATAGCATTGACCATTTATGTTAATGCAAAATATACAATTATATCAGTCACCAGGGAAGTTAAGATTTTTACTAAACTTGACACAAGATTAAATAGTCAGGAATTTGTGGGGTTTCAATTGGTTGGTTGATTTTGTTTAGGGGCATATCAACCTCCATGAGTTATTTAATGCCGGTTTTGTTGATACTTTTCCCCATTGTTCCCCTTTGGTAAAATGGATGCCAATAAGAAGACCAAACTTCAAAAAGAACCACTGGTCTATCAAACAGAAACACTTGAGACAGATAAAAACATCTTTTCCCTTTTTTACATCGGTGTCCATAGTATCACATCTAGACATTGTGTTTTTCTACATATATTAGGTTGGATACTTTAATCCCATTGTAAAATCCAGCATAAGACAGAATTTTATGAGTTCTATTTTAAATTTTTTTTTTCTCTATCAATTTGAGTAGAAATGGAGGACCACCAAAAAAAAGTAAAGAGTAAAAGTGGTCCACTGGTTAAAAAAAAAAAAAGGGTTGAGAACCACTCACATGCATAAAAACTTGAAAATTTTATCCAACGTGCCAGGACGCGCTCACAGCGAGGCACATTTTGGCTGAATGTAACACAGAGGTGCTGCAGGGAGACCTGCATAAGTGTTGTGGAGTTATTTTGCAGTGGAGGCTTGTATTTGTACTAAATCGGTCCTAAATAGTTCGACATACAAAACGTTAGGAACTTGATATAATAGGTATTACACAGAGTAATCTTGTTGTGGTCGCTGATTACTTTCGTATTCGACTAACTGTTGACTACTGTCATCCGACATCAACTGACCGTCGTTTCTCTTACTACTCCTACTTATATTAGGTGGGAGAGTCTATTAACCATAGAATAGGTGTGTTTCACCATAACAATGAGAGATCTGTTTAGGGGTGCTGAAGCTATCAACATGGTCTCCTGCTTTAAGGAAGTAGGTTTGTATCAACACATCTGGCACCTGCAGTGGATTGTGTACAGGCCTTATATCTGTAAAATAGGCATTTACCCTGAGGGTATAAAATTGTGAACAGGGTATCTGTGGTTGAAGGCTTGCTCACGTTTGAGATCTATATATGGTATATGAGACTGTTCAAAATATTTAGATTTCAGCATTAAATAGCCCGTAGAGGTTGATATGTCGCTACACAGAATCAACCAACCAACATTTATCTATACAAATGAAGTGTCTGTCCTTCTGCTTGTTTGTATGCCATACAGAGACGTGTCAAAAGTAAATAGACACCCATCAAATTTGGAAACCCAGGGTAATCGGCAAACTAAACTTTGGAGGTGAATTATTTTATGACTGCATCCATTAATACTTAGTCAATGCTGCCTTAGCATCCTTGAGCACATTCAACTTGTTGAGCACAGAAGCAACAAGCTCTGTCATCTTTGACTCGGAAATTTCTGCTCAAGTTGAATTTTTTTTTTTATACTTATGTTCATCCAGTACAAGGCCAAAGAGCCACTCAAGGTAGATAGTTACTGCATGGTGTTTTATGAGTGTAAGAAAGGGTAAGAAGAGACATTTTATATAATTTTTTTTCTTTTTTTCTTTTAGGACCAGATAGATGCAGCTGTAAAGACCTTATTGGACCTGAAAGCCCAGTTTAAAGCTACCAGTGGTTTTGATTGGAAACCTGATTTTGCTAAAATGAAAACACTTGAAAAAACGTCCCCAGTTGCTTCTGATCCCAAACAAACTGAACTGAATGACAAAATTATTACGCAAGGGAACAAAATAAGGCAGTTGAAAGCTGATAAAGCAGCAAAGGTAACTTTATTTATTTAAATCCCTGAATATTGTACTTGACAGTGTATATGTGACTCACCTCAGGTGATGTTAAAATAGACTTTGCATTCAGTGTCCCTCGGCAAGCAAGGTCATTACCTAGACGGGTGACTGCTTGGGAATATCATGTGCTGTAAACTCTAGATGAGTGGGTGGTGTAATGGACACAGCTTGGAATTGTTAATTGGAGAGCTGAGCTTCAATTCCCGTTGGGTACGTTATATTCACTTACACACAAATACGCTTGGGGAAGGTATGAATCCATCTCTTCTCTCCCCAGCTATGGGTTAATTAGCAAGACTTGTATTAATAATCAATTATCTAAAAAAAAAAATAATTCTTATAATCTAAATTATTATGAAAAATCCTTAAAAAATAGTTGACACAAAAGCAAATTAATATATGTTGATACGCATAATTCCCCTAAGATGCAAAGCAAACCCAAAAATAGGGCTAGGAAGATATTATGGTTTAAACCCCCCCCTATAATCTAGCAGTTAAAACTAAAATAGGAAAGATGTTTCTTAAATTATTAAAAAAAGAATTTTCCCCGACTAATATATCGTATAAAATTTTCAATAAAAACAATGTTAAATTAAGTTATAGTTGCAAACCAAATATGACTAACTTAATTAGTAAGTACAACTGGAAAAAAAATCATAGACAAACTACACCCAACCCCTCTAAGTGTAACTGTAAAAATAAGGACGCCTGTTTACTTGAGGGCAGGTGCCAACAGGAATGTGTGCTTTATAAAGTTGTGATACAATAGAAATAAACACTGAAAAGAACCCCAAAGTTTACTTAGTATCTACCAAAGGTAGCTTCAAAAAATGTTATTATAATCATCTAAGTAGTTTTAATCATGAAACCTGTAACCATAGGACCAGCTTATCCACTTACATATGGTGTATAAAGCAAGAAGATAATAGTGATTTTCTAAACACAGCACAAGGCCAAAAGTATGTGGCACCCAGTTAGGATTGAACTCACTCGTAATTGATCAATGCTTTCTAACCATTACACCACGTTGATGTGCCCAGCAAGAAGATAATAGTGATGCCATTTTGAAATGGGAAATGTTAAATAAATGCCATAAATATAAGGCAGGTGACAAGTTTTGTTTGTTACGTTTGGAAGAAAAATTAGCAATCGTCACCTATTAGGAACCTAAGAATTTATTAAATAAAAGATCAGAGATACTTAATAAGTGTAGGCATAGGAGAGCCTGGTTATTAGAATAGTAATTTGGGTTTTTTCTTTTTTTTTTCTTTCCTTTTTTTTTTCTTTCCTTTTTTTTTCTTTCCTTTTTTTTCTTTTTTTTTTTTTTCCTTTTTTTTTTTTTCTTTTTTTTTTTTTTTTTCTTTTCCTTTTTTTTCTTTCCTTTTTTTTTCTTTCTTTTTTTTTTCTTCTTTCCTTTTTTTTTTCTTTCCTTTTTTTTTTTCTTTTTTTTTTTTTTTCTTTCCTTTTTTTTTTCTTCTTTCCTTTTTTTTCTTTCCAATGTAACAAACGAAACTTGTCACCTGCCTCCTATTTATCGCATTTTTTTTAACATTTCCCATTTCAAAATGGTGTCACTATTATCTTCTTGCTGGACACCTCAACCTTTTTTTTTTTCTTTCCTTTTTTTGTTGTTTTTGATCACATGGTTTTATGTTTTTAATGGTTTTACCAATACTGTTCCGCTATTTCCTTTTTTAGCCAGTTTATATGTTTTTTTTTTTTGTGTGTGTGTGTATATATATATATGTGTGAAAATATATAGAAAATAGGAAAGAACTGGTTAGGTAAATAATCCAAAGTTCCTTAGTATTTTTGTTATTATTTTTAAAAAATAGTGCTCGATACAAAAGTAGAGCATAAATATAATTATTTATTTAAAAATATGATTCCAACTCGCGACATAAGAGGTCTCATGTTTCAAAACAAGAGCAGAAAACTTCAATATAATTATTTGAATTAAAGTAAGCTCTGTTCCATCTTCAAGCGAAATTTTTTTGGAATAACTTATTTCTGAAATTTACGTGTTTTAATAGTATATTCATAATTGAAATCAAAATTTCCATGGTAATGGCCAGGGCAAATTGTTTAAAATAGGTAGAAGAGTGTTGGGTGTTAATAATAAGTATCAGTATAGAGTTACTTTCATAGATGTCAAGTCAGGGTAAGGTGGGGGTGTCTAAATTTGAAACGGAAGATGTTTTCGCCTAGTCTAGTTTACGTATCTATGGAGATTTATTTATTTTTTTATTTTATTTCTTTATGAAAAGGATTTGTGCATATAAAAACTGTCGTAACATTTGTTTTTAGACGACTTCATAAAGGGTTATCTTTTTTTTCTTTTTCTTTTTTTGTAGGGTATTTAAACTTTATTTGGGCTATGGATTATAAAAGTTATTATATTGTATGCTTGTTTTTAGCTAATCATTCAGTGCATAAATTTGATGATGTTGGCAAAAACCGTTAACTCATGTCTATTGTTTAATAGATTTTTATTATTTAGAAACTTAATAATGTGCAGTTTCTCATGGAGGCACAAAGGGCATGGGTCATCCCAAGCTTTACAAGTTCTAGTCCTATTTATAATTTTCCATTTTACTTTAGGTGTCCTATTTATTTCCTTCAGATGCCAAAAATATTTAGATAGGGAAGTCTGATTTCCTTTATTTCTATTGTTGAAAGAGCACTTATGCTGCCTCCATCTGGCTTTAAAATCATTCTTCATGGACCCAATGTATATCATATTAGTATTAGGACTCTCAGTGGATGATATAGTACATTGGTATACCACGGATTTGATGCAGCATTTATTTTCTAATGGGCAGTCTTCTGGGTTTCTACAATCACATAATTTTTCACTGTTATTGTCTGATTTAAGTGTAGGGTTCTTATTAATACTATTCAGGCATGGGGGTTTGTTCAAGATTTTATTATTGTGTTTTTTTTTTTTTTTTTATTGTGTTTTTTTGTTGTTTTTATTGTGTTTTTTTTTTTTTTTTTATTGTGTTTTTTTGTTTTTTTATTGTGTTTTTTTTTACATATATATACATACACACACACACACACACACACACACAATATCAAGAAAAGTATGTTACATTTAAATTATTCTAAAATATTAAGATATAACGCTGCAGGGTGTCCAGGCTCTTGCACTACATCACAACACCACCCTGTCCTTGGTCACCGTTGTGTCCACAATTGAATCCTGCGGTTAACTGTGAAGTTGGTCATTTCAATCCAAGCCTACCCTGTCCCACATTGTTTATTTTGATCACAAGGCAGGCAATGATCGAATCCTGAGCAGATTTGTGTCATTCAGACGGGACAATATTAGAAGACAAAAAGAGAAACTTGTGCAAATCAACAAGGTTTATATAACTGAGGTTTATACAAGCATGCAGGCTAACAACCATTCCCTCATAGTCCAATTTTGTGACACTTTGTTCTTCATTTCCAAGTTGGAAGTTTGCTCAGAAATTTCTTCAAGCAACAACTTACGGAATGCTGATGAAGCACTCGTTTCCCTCTTTCTCTCTCTCATTTTATAGAAACTTTCAATTCTTCCGCTTTGCAATTTCATCAGAGCATTCTGTTTAATTTATCTAATAGTCTGGAACAAGGCATGAGTAAAGAGTTCTTCATGGCAGCAAATCACATGTCATAATGGAAGCATGTCTGCCTCAACTGCTGCTCTCTCTGTCTTCTCTATTCTCGCTGCCTTCTCCTCTTGTCTAACGCTTTTATGGACCCTCACCCAACATTGGCATGGGGTCTGACGCGATCTGAGGTTCCAGAATTTTCCAAATATTCAATTAGAACTCTCTGCTGATGGTGTCCTGGGAAGCAATTTGCATGTCCAAATACGGGGGAGCAGCACATCAATCCATCATCTTGTTCTCCCCATCCTCTTGCTTGCACCTCACACCAGTACCTTTCAGTGGGTGTATTCATTTTCCTCCCACTTCCTCATATCACCTCCTCACACTGCCGCCATCCAGGGAATAGGTATTTCACCCGACACAGAACAGATTTTTATTTTTAATGTCATCATAAAATTATTATCTGCATTTCTCTATTCCATGATATGACATTTGCTCTGTAATTCTTTCTCTTTTTCCCACTTGGCCGAAATTTTCCAGCATGACAAAATCTTGTTCCTTTAGCAACACTTGCATCCTCCACCCCTATCAATACATGACATAGAATCATTTCTTTACCCTTTTCCTCACCCACCTGTGTCCATAAAATTATTATCTGTAACTAGTTTGGTGGTCTCAGCCCAAAATTGCACTCCCCTCAATACTCGTCCCCTGGTCTTCAATTTAACCAGATGCCCAAGTGCATTTCAGCACTTTCTTCTAGCAAGGTCTTTATTCACAAAATGAGAAACAAAATAAAAGTATATTTTCTCTTGTTTTTGGTATGTCCTTCTATCTATCTACTACCTTCTTCATACACATGAAATGAGAAAAGCAAGATAAGAGTATATTTTCTCTTGTTTTTGGTATGTCCTTCTATCTATCTACAACCGTCTTCATCTTTGTGTTCACTTTCGAGTTAATTTATGCCTTTTTTTTTTTTCTTCCAATTATCAACATTCTTATAGTCTCACAAAAAATATTAATGCTAAACAGAAAAATAAACTGGTGGATGTTAAATGATGTAAATTTTCACCTGTTGCTAAAAGCATAAGTGAATAATATTATTATTAAAAACAATGAGTTAAACATTTTCTTTGAATGTTTTCAAGTTTTTTATAGCCATACATAAATATGCTGGCCTGAAGGGCGATATTTTCAAATAATTGCCAATGTTCTGTAATTTAAATTTGAACAGGCCACTTTTTTTTGTCGATACTTTCTTTGTGTGTGTGTATATATATATATATATATATATATATATATATATATATATAAGACATTTTATGTTTATAAATTCTTTTTATAGATTCAAATATTTAAGTAAATGCTCTGTTTATAATAAACGGTATTAAACAACATTTACCGGCCTGAATGTCCGAGAAATTTTCATAGAAAATATTTGTCCTCCGACAGGATTCGAACCTGTATCCTATACGGAACCGTCAAATTTAACCGATTTGGCCACAGAGGATCGTTCGGTTAGCATGGTCAAGTGGTTAGAACATTCACTTTTTAACCATGAGACCCAGGTTCCAATCTCACCATGGTCGATTTGTCAGGAAGTAGATTTCCTGGTGTTATCGGTCTGGAGGGGGTGATCCCAGCATGCGGCATCTTTGGAAAGTGCTAGAAAACCATACCACAAGTTGATCCAAGCCTTGTGAGTGAAATTGGGCCATTGATAGCTGAGCTAGCACAAAGTCACAAGTCATCATAAATGAGGGTTTGAGTGTGCTGGCCTTGTTCAGATTGTTGATCACACTAGATAACATGCTATCTCACAGAAACTGTAACTAAGGTCTGTTCAGCATAGTTGCAGTATAAGTGAGTATAGCCTGAGCGAGTGTCTGCATTAGGGATTGACTAGCCACCCTAACATATGGTTATCCTTGAATACGAGTGGCCAGCTATTATTTATATAGATATATAATCTCCAAATGAGAGAAAGAAGAAATGAAGTAAAGCTCCGCTGTTCATAGCATTTACTTTTAAAAATGTGCTCAATGCAAAGTAGAGCAATATATTATTATTTTATTAGATATTATGAGAAAAACATTAAGATCGCTACACAATAGCTTTTGTGTTTCGTCATGAAAGCTATTGTGTAGCAATTTCAACATTTTTGTTATTATTTTTATATATATATATATATATATATAAATTTTCTCTATTTGCATGTTGGCATAAATTGCTTTCTTCTTGTTATTTCTTATGCACACACACGTCTGCATTTTCCTAATAGTAATGTTTTCTTAATTTTTTAGGATGAAATTGATGGCCAGGTGAAAGTTTTGCTTTCTCTTAAAGCCGAATTTAAGAATCTCCTTGGTTTTGACTGGAAACCTGGATTTATGCCATCAAATACGAATGCTGAAAAAAATCCTGGTGGTTCAGCTGCAGAAGAACTGAATAGTAAAATTTTGGCACAAGGAGACAAAGTTCGCAAATTGAAAGCAGATAAAGCTGCCAAGGTAATATGTTACGAATAATATGTAAACAGGTGTATGCATGTGCATTGCACTTGCAGATATGTGTGTGTGTGTGTGTGTGTTTTTATTTTTAAAGACATTAGCATGTGTGTGAGATGTTTTCAACAGGGTCATCTTCTGATGGGAACTTTTGAATGCACAACTGGATATTTATTTTATGTGTGTGTTTCCTTTACATCCACAAGTTGTTCTGATCATTTTTTAAACTCCCAAGCACAAATACCTACATAAAAAAAAAAAAAAAATTCCGAAATTTAGTCAGATTTTGGAAAATCAATGATGTTGAGAATTTTCAGCATCCCCACATGTAATATTATACGTTAATAGTTGTATATTTCTAATTTCATATTTTTGGGCTACTTCCTTTTATTACTAAACATATCTAGCATAACTGCAATGCTTTTATCCCATCATAAAGTTCATGAGAAAAATATTTATACAAATTTGGTTAGAGACCAACAAAACAACTTTTGCATTATTTAGATGAGCACTATTGTCTGCAGCAGTCTAAATAATAACTCATCCCAGAAATTCTGACAGAAGGCAATCAGGTGATATTAGCAAAAAAGATGAGGACAATAGTCCAAATGTAAATAATGATAACTTCTCATCCTAAAAATTCAGACCGAAAAGGTTGTTTTGTTAAAATTGTTTTTATTCTATAATTGGTAGCATTTTCTAGGTTTCTGGTACATATTTAACCCTTTAGCATTCATATTACATACTCACACACATATAGCTGGCCACTCATATTCGAGGATACCCGTCTACTAGGGTAGCTATCCGCTCCCTATTGCCCTGCTGCAGATGTTTGCTCAGGCCCATTTTTTGTGTTTGCTCAACACCCACAGAGCCCACCTGTGGTTTATACTGCAACTATGCTGATCAAACCTTAGTTACAGTTTCTGGGAGAGAGCGTGTTATCTAGTGTGATCAACAATTTGAACAAGGCCAGTACACTCAAGCCATCAGCCACGATGACTTGTGGCTTCATGCTAGCACAGCCTTTTGATGACTTTCAAAAGTTCTGTCTACCCAATTTCACTTGCAAGGCTTGGGTCAACCCGTGGTATGGTTTTTCAGGCACTTTTCAAAGGTGCTGCATGCTGGGATCATCTCCCTCCCGACCGATAACATCATATCACTGTTTATACGTTATCTCAATAGGTACAATTTATTTAAGTAAATGCTCTGTTTCTTTTTAAATAAATGTTATTAATTATATTTACCAGCCTGAATGTTCACAAAATTTCATAGAAAATATATTCTCCAACAGATTTGTTGTTTAAAAACTAATTATATATTAAAATCCTAATTAAAACATTATTATACATTGTATATGAAAATATCTAAAATTTTCTTTAAAATCCAATATTTGTCCTAGAAATGTGTTTTAAATGTCTGTAAGTAAATTTAAGGATTAATTAACTGAATTTTCTAAAGTTAATGCTTGCCTTTTTACTTAAAAAGAATGAAAATAACATTTTATTTATGCATGATAACATGTGAAGTCAAAGGATAAGAGAAGGTAGAAAAACACTAATTCTCCCTTTGTCTATAAAAGCATGGGAAAAAAGTAAAAATAGAACCTAAAGATATACAAAAGACCAATAGTACAGTAATCAAGAATTGTTATTTATGTTTAAAACTAAATTTTCTTTAATCTTATATAACCAATAGTTTAAGAATATAATTTTTTATTCTATACACTTTTATTAGACTTAGTATATTATTTTCATTCGTTTTGGGTCTGGAAAAACTTTTATTTATTAACTAATAATTAATAAAAAAATATACTCATTATTTTGAAGAAGACTACACCTATTCTAAGCTATTACTCCAAATTTTCAAGCAATGTGTTAACTACAAGGCCCAGTGAAACAACAAAGCTTTTTTAACTGTTTTTAAATACAAATTAAAATGTGTAATTAATTATAAAACTGATAATATTGTTACCTCATCATTTTGTATCATGAACTGCTTTTAAAAGAAACCTGATAAGTTTATGGGTGGTTTAGTATATATAAAGGTGGATATAGGTAACAAGAATTCTATCAAACATGTTTCATTAAACAATACCAACAAGGTCTGTTTAACTTTTTATTTACTTTTTCCAATTTTGAACTAAGTTGTTTTAATTTAAGAATTAAAAATGGTAAATCTGGAAAGTTTACTCTTTATTTGTATGTACTTTCTACTATCACTACAGTCATTATAAAGAATAGTGCATTATTAGTCTATCAAAATCGGTTTCGTAAAATCCACTGATTTTGTTTGCAAGAATTAAATTTAAGTTACTTAAAGGTGATAGACCTGAGTATGACGATAAACTACATCCGGCAACAAGGCCTCTGATTGAGAGATTGGAGGTTTTGAGGAGCGTGAAACCACCTCTTAATTGCTGTTCCCAGGCCCACCCTAACCTGGAGTGGTATGACCTGTTAGGGTCCCAGCTATGGGAAAATAGTGGATCCCCAAACAAACACAAAACACTATGAAAGTTTAAAAATCCATTTTTATAGTAAAATTACCAGCAGTACATTTTTATAGTAGAATTACCAACAATTCATATTTATGGTAAAATAACCAATAATACATTTTATCTGTAGTTGAAGGTGTACAATTACATTCAAAATTGTATTTAGCTGAAGCCATAAAATTCTTCAAAATATTTAGATTTCAGCATTAAATAACTCATAGAGGTTGATATGCTACTAAACGAAACCAACTAACCAACCAACATAAAGGTGATGTCATCTGTAACAGTCAAACTGAATTTATATGTGTTATTTTTTTTTTTTTTCTTTTAAACCCACCCGGATATATGATCTACTGTGGAGAAAAACATTTAATAATAAATGTTTCTTTAGTATTATAATTTCCTCTAGAATTTTCAGTCTTTCTTTGTATTGAGTCATATTTTGTTATCTCTTAAAATTTGTCTTATGCTACTATTATTTTTGTTATTTTTTATGTATTTTGATCTATATGTGCACAAATTACACTAAATTTTGACATGGCAAGATAACCTACGAGAGAATGTGGTGCATGTATGGCCAATGTAAGAATTTAATGTTGTTTTTTGATTATTAATGTTGGAGATACAATCTCCCAAAAGACATGAGAATTCATAAACAGCATTATTTTTTTTACATAGGGTGGATTTTTGAGGTGCTTATTGCTAAGAATTAGACATTTTGAATTTTTCGTAATAAATGAGGAATATAAACTATTTGTTAGGATCTTTAACATCATATTGCAGCATAATTATATTTTTAATAGCCTTTTTATTTTGCTTATAATAAGGATTCATCTAATTACAGTAAGATAATGGAGCCGCCTTTACTTTTTTTATCAAGTTGGTTGCTTATGTCTTCTTTTTTTTAATTTTTTTAATCAAAAAATCCTTTGGTCTTTCCTCATAATAATATCAAAGATTTTGACGATAAAACTTTGTTTTTGTTGTTTTAGGCATCAAGGAAATGTTAGAAAATTGCCAATAAATTTTAACATTATTATATATGCCAACCTTATTTTCTGATAATGTTGTATTTGGGCATCCATATTTACAAAAATCGATACATTCATCCATTCATAAAAGATATTCAAAATGTTTTATAAGATATTGTTAATTGTAGTAAACTAAAATTGTAATTTTTTTATTTTTGATCAGTAAATACAGTCTTAATTTAATAAGAACATCACTTGACTGCTACAAATTAATACAGAATGTTAAGATTTAGTCACTGAAAAAAAATTTTTATGACAATGTTCATGATATATTTTATACATAAAAACAATTAACAACTTTTCTAATTAATTAATATCTTAGTTTTATTGCATTTTTTTTATTTTATGATTTGGAGCAGAGTTTTTGTAACTGGGGGTTAAGAAATATTTTATTATTGAACTTCTCCGAGGACTTGTCATTATAACTAATATAAAGATTAAGCACTACAAAAAAGAATTTCTTGAATTCTTGAAGTTTCATAAATTAAATAAGTAGGATGGGAATAGATATAAAAAGGAAACAAAAAAAATTTACCAAGATTTTCTAAAAAAAAAGAAAAAAGAAAAAAAACCTTTCATTAAAATCCAACAATTTCTAGGGGAACAAATTTTTTGCAATTACAGAATCACAGACAGACTCACAGAATTGTTTATCTTAAATGGAATCTGTGTTTTTAATGTAATTTTCAATAATAAATAACAGATTAATTATTTGATTATTTTTTAATTCTTTCAAAACTTAATAACTGTCTCCCTGATTTTGTTAAACATTTTAATAAATATAACAATTACATAACGTTTGTTTTTACAAATAAATTGTAGTTATTTTCCTTATAAAACCCGAAAAATAATTAAGAACAAAAATATTTACATAAAGAAAAGTGGGTCGTTGATTTTCTGAGAATATTTTTAAATATTTTACAACTTTTCTAAGAAACTGTATGTAGCAAATGAGATGAAAGTCAGAAAGTCACGGCCTGGTCATGGCCACCAAGATCCATTACTAAAGCGGAAATGGGGAAGATAAACATTAGTTGATGTCAAAATTGGAGGAGAGAGAGAGATGAAGATCAAATCAATAAGTTTAACAAATTCATTTCCTTTAAGGCCTCACACAATTTACAAGTAAAAGATTCTAAACTTGTAACCTTGTTTTATGAATATGAAAGAAAAGTAAATGCTATCATGTGCCTACCATACAATTTACAAATAAAGAAAAAATATTCTCCAAAAATACCATTCTATGAAACTACTGGCTTGTCTAAGCTTACCGTCACATAGTGATTCTTCCAGATTAATAATTGTGTCATCTTTGGTGCTTCACTATTGTAAACAAATTTAAATTGAACAAAAAAATATTCCTTTAATAATATTAACTATCAATGATTATTTTTTCATATATTATATTTTGTAATCTAAACCAGTTGTATGAATAAGCAACAAATTGCCAAGATGACTGAATCAAGTCAATA